CGTGCGTGCGTGCGTGCGTGCGTGCGTGCGTGCGTGCGTGCGTGCGTACGGTAGCATCTTCGTTTTTGTAACCACGACCATTAAAATTTAAATTTCAACTATCATTTCATAACATTATGGTATATTACTATTCGTGACCTAAAAATTCCATGCCGTGCCGTACGTCTCTGGGCGCCGTGCCTTAAGATTTCAATTCAACTCAAGCTCAATGTGCTCTTGACTTTACACCTTACAAACATTGAATATTGTAGTACTTACGAACCAGAAGTAATATTTACATTGTGTGAACACTTTAACGATTAATACTCGAATTTTTTTCAAACATTCGAAAAAATATAAAACTAAATAATGTAGATAGTATGTCGTTTAATGTCGATTTATAATTTAAAAACAATATATTACAGCGTTTTTTTTTCACTAAGTAGCTTAAGCATTTATTTGAAGACTGCTTTTCGTATGCATTTAATGTATTTATTGATCTGTTTATAAAGTGAAATTATTTCATTAGAAATAGGGATCGATTTTGTTTAGTAAACGAACAACGAACTTTTCGCTTACGACTTTAGAAAATTGAGACAATCAAAATTTAGACTTCCTATGGAACTGTTGAATCAGGATACTATGGGAAGTCGATACCAGAAGTATCAATTAACGTAAAGGACATTTTGTCGAAATTGAGTTACATATATCATTGGATTCGGAAGTTCCCGCTCTATCGATTGATATTATTAAAATTTAGGTATGCCCAGTGGTTTAAAATATAGCATGTCCCTTACATTAAAAAAATATGTTTAGTTGTGCCTTACGTTACTAATATTTTATGTGTAAACCGTCGAGCACAGTGCATATAGTAGCGTCGAGCATAATTCTATTGCAAAGGATCCTTTGCAATAGAATTACGTACGCTCGACGGTTTACACATAAAATATTAGTAACGTATAGCGCAACTAAAGATCTTTTTTTAATGTAAGGGACATGCTATATTCTAAACCACTAGGCACTCCTAAATCTTTCGTTTATAGCATGAAAGAAGCGGAAATTCTAAGAAACTTTGCTCTAGACACAATCAAAATAGGACCAGCCAGTAAAAAGTTATAGACAGATTTAAAGAAAAATCGTTTTTTTTACCCTCCTGAAAAACCGTGGTTTGACCCTTACATTAATTGATACTTCCGGTATCGAAATAATTGTTCCAATATTAAAGTCGTTTCTGTTCGTGATCATGATGCTGTGTTAGCAACTCGAGTAATACTAATTAAATCTAATCTAGTATTTTTTTAATTATATATATAATATTTTCTGTTCGGAAAATAGTGCGATTCTCTAAATATGCGTGTGATAGCGACACATCTGATAAAGCTATGGTACACTTTTCCACGCCTTCAGTCATAATATAAAATAAGTTCTCATTTCAATCGCACGTAATCGATGGCATTGATGAATACTTTTAAAGTTGTCCAGATATTATTTTTTAATGCGCAATTATAAGGCCCAGACCTGAGTAGATCGATGAAAATAGTTCCATTAATTCGCTTGATCGAGTTGTTGACGGGGTGGATAAATGCTGACAATGTATATTTAGACCCTGAAATAGTGTCGCGTATAATTTTTCGGTATTTACTATTGAAAAAAAGCGTCTGGATTTTCTGTATAATAGTGCAGGTCTTATCGTAAAATTAAATAATACTTAAATAATATTAATTATTATTATGATTTTTGTAAGTATTTTTGACAATTTTTAATCTAAGAGAAACAGAATCTCGACTTGTTTATTTTAGATATAAGTTGTACTTTAATGTAATTGTCGTTCTCCGTCCTTTGAAGAAGTCTTCCAATATTTCAGTATTATAACTCCAGATGTTTTAACTAAGCGGTTGTGATTATTTATTAATGAAATAAAATGTCTAATAGTATCGTTGTTGTTGCCTTAATTTTATACGTGAACAAAATTTTTGTATGCGAAATATTTTTCAATATTCACTTGTAACAGCTTAACGCTCTTAACTTTTTAACATTCTTTTGCCTTAAATGGCACATAGTTTAATGATATTATAAATGCACAAGTAATAAATGTCTTGTCCGATGGTGCTAATTTCAAATCTGAAGAATCAACGTTTTAGAGATATTTATAAAATTCTCTTTACAGTGTTGGTGGCAAAAGACTACTTTGTGTCTATTTACTTTTTTACAAGGCGTGTACTTAGAATTTTAATGTCCACTTGCGTTAAACTTATACCTATGTCTTGAACCAGAGTTTGCAATGCAAAAGAATGACACAACAAGAATGTTTTTCCCTTCACAGGTCAACCGTGACCATGGGACCTGTAAAGGGCCCGAACCGTCGTGTTTGTTTGAAAAAACAAATATACGCGATTTAAATCCGGAAAAATAGTTTCACTTCCTATACGTAACAGTCGCAAAAACCTAAGAACTCGATAAGAATGTTTTAAGTTTAAGACATACTTTAGTTTAATGCAAATGGACGTACCTAATTGTAATAACAAAGTGAAGATGTCAATCACGTGACCAGCCTCGCAAATTTGTCTAAGGCTCAATTTACATTGCGGCGGATTTCCATTCCAAAACGTCCATTTCGCCTCGCTACGCTACGCTAGAAGAGGCGCGCCGTCACTGGAACGCTCGAGCACTCCAGCGACCGCGCCTTGAGGCTGTAGTATTTCGTCGACGTTTGACGTCACACTACCCCTACCTTTGCACCACCGTGGATTCGCCAGCCATCGCGGTCGCCGACAGCAGCAGCGGTATTCTCGCGAATGCGCGAGCATTCTCGAGCAAACGCGAGAATTCCGCGGAAGACACGTGACGTTATTTTTTATTCCTGTCTACTTTGTACGTTACACAATTGACCATACGCCATTCTGCCGCAATATAAATTGAGCCTAAAAAATGTCAAATAACGTAACATAGACTTAATTAATTTGTAGATACATGTCTTCTTATGCGCCCTTCACATTTCGTAAAATACTCATACCCGGTCTATATATGTTAGGGGGTAGTCTAACCCAACGTACTTAAAGAAAGCAAAAATGTACTGAAACTGGATAAAAACCGATCAAACTGTATTATACATTGTAATTTTTTTATCATTCGTAAATGTGATAAAACTCATTTATTGGAAATATTCAAGTTTTTAGGCAGTCGCATTACTTTTTTGTGATAAAACCACGTCAATGACATAATAAACCGATAATGTGATTGAATCACCAAACACCAATATTAATGGAATAATTTTACGCTAATTGTTAAGTTTTACACATTTTTATTCTATTAAAAGCACTACATACTATGTACTATTCACTTTTTTTTCATCCTCCCCGTACTCCGTTATCGTGTTTGCAGAAATATCAAACTTTTTACGTAAGTGTCCTAGGTATGTTATAAATATAATATTAAAGTATAATAAAAAAGCGTCTTGTTTAAGGTATGCCCTAAGTGCTGCATTAAACAGTGTACATCGAAGCCGTTTATGTACGGGAATCATTTCCTTTTGTTCACAAGTCGCAACTCGTTCTATAGGTATTCTATTTATACAAAAAGGTGGGTAATAAAACATGTTATGGAATTACAAGAATTTAATTATTATAATAGGACACGCAATTTAGCATTTCCAACTGGAATAATACTCGACAACACACTTCATATCTTATTAAACTCTGTAAGTCGACAGCAAAATATAAAGTATTCAACTTAATCACAGTACAAACAACGTAATTCAGATGTTATTTTTCGCGTTTCAGGGCACAGTTACGTGCTATTAGTTAGGGACATCACATGTTTAATCAAACTTAGTTTCTCTCTTTGTCTATTTGTAAAAATATACTACATTTTCATGAACTATTAATAACAAAAAATATTTACGTACTACCTATTACTGTAACAGCTTTGTTCCTCTACACAATGCCTTAATTGTCATCATGGGTCTGATAACAATTACACGTAAAATAACATACAAATTCGTTCGCTCTAACCAATAAAATCATAAATAATTTAACTTAGATACACAATCAGTCAAACAATGGCATTCCAATAAATTTTCAAATTATTCTCTTTTGTGGAAGATAGACAAAGACAGTGTTCTTAAACTACAATTAATTCTATCAATACTGGCTAATGTTCATATTCATTCACTGTTTATAATCATTTTACATGCCTATACTTTACTCTTATCCAATTCCAAGCTTCGGAGCTTTAAGAGTACTACTGAAATAATAATTAAATTGTTAACCTATATCATAACTTATGATCATAACTTATGATCATAAGTTATGATATGATATGATTCATAAGTCTGTCTCTCCCTCATTGTCTCTACTGCTATTAAAACTTAACACCTGCATTCAGTTTAGATTGTGCAGTTTTAATGAGAGGAAATTTGTCTTAAAACATTGAACATAACAGGACATCAACATCATTCTTATGTAATCAATCGTTACCTCATAAGGTAACATATACAAGAAAGTTTTACTGGACTAAAGTGCTTCTCAATACAACTTACATTTGACTGCTTTCATAATACTCAAATGACTTGGAGTGAATGAAGCTTGGAGTTAAAAAAAGAGTATTGTAACATTATATCTAGACTACTTAAAACAGAGTGTGCAAGTAGAAATTGTTTTGCTAAACTTAGGGAGTATATAAATACTTTCTTTGAAACAAAAGTCTTAAGTATTAGTTTGTAACTGTATCTCAAATAGCTAAAAATATGTTGAGCACAAGCATGAATGGTATTATCTCATGTGATAAAAATAATTGTGATAGGTATTTTATCTTATTTAACAGTACCTACCTTAGTTTTTGTTATAACCAACTGAATCTTTTGCACACTCATGCGGTTTTATAATATTACGGAGGTACCATTTAAGTGGCGACGAAACAAACAAAAATCAGAACATATTATAACAGAACTTGAGATCAGTACTATTTAAGTCAAATAATTCTGTTTCACACACAAAACATACTGTCATTTACATAAAACACAAATTTAACAATACGGTGGGCATTTTATTTACCATCCTACCAATCCTGCAAACAAATTCTGAAATAATATTAATGCTACACATGAGTTCCAAATATACAACATATTATGGATATGAAATTAAATATTTACAGTACACTGGAAAAAAAATATCATCACTTTGTTTCACTTCTAATCAGTTTCAATCTTTGCAATGAATCAAAACAAAATATTTCTACTGTTCATGTGATGGATTTGTTTCATTTAAGTTTTACAAAACTATAAAGCTGCCTAGTCAAAAGAACGTTTAGATTACTTAGTTTACTCTATTTACTATCTAACACATACCCACTAACATTAATTCTAATGTTTATGAAAGTGAATCTGCTTAAACTAATAATTTATGCTTTGTACTAAACCATATAAAGATTCAGACAGTTAATCATCATCTAATTCTATAACTATTGGTTCGACATTTTCAGTCGACTTTGTGTATTCTTCCTTCAACTGTGTTAGCAATACACACTTTGGTATTTTGAGTTCATCTGCCTCATCTACTAAACCTTTCAATTTTTGAACTCTTCCAATGTCAGGTGCAGTAGGAAGCAGGACATTCTTTGTTTCTGTCATCCATTTGTCAAAACTGTTCACTCTGAAGTCAAGAGTTTGCAACATTATGTGAAGCTCATCCATATCATAGCGATAGTTTAAAGTCTTCTTCTCCCAAGGGCAAAGACAAAATTCCAGGGCATGTTGCAAGCAAGCCATATGCTTGCAATCTGCACATGATACTGAAGACAGAAAGCATGTGGTTTTACAAACTTCACAAAGCCTTTCATCATCACCAAGCAACTCAAATGCAGTTCTTCGTACATTCTTTAATCCTTTTTTTGCAACAAGTGCTCTTAATCTGCCTTCTTCTTCTGTAGCATTGACTAATTCTTTTTGTGTCTCTAGTGCTGTCTCTAAATCAAGACGGTCACCTTCCAAAGCCATTTTGCAAATCAGTTCATCATGTGAAAATACACAAAATCTTTTCAGGTTTTTGTAGTGGACAATACATTCTCTACCAATATGTAGCCAATCTGGAGGAGCAAAATTGACAGCTTCAGCAAAATTGTAGCCCTGGTTGAAACCTGCATGATATGCTCTTGGAAAAGTCACAACAAATTCACCTGCATTTTGATCTGTTCTATAAATCGGAACTCCAGCTGCCATCAATATGTTTGGATTCATTATTGTGACCAACTGATGCAGTAAGTCAGGTTGAGACTTAAATAGATCAGGTGCTGCTGCTTTCATTGCATTCTCTAAGAGTTCAGCACCACTGCCTGGCACACCATACCAGGTTTTAGCTTCTCCCCAATGCAAATAATTTATGGAGTAGCTCCAGTGATCTTCGTTGTGCCAACAAAATGCAGAGAAGCACATGCCAACATACATCCAAGGTACTGTCATTCCTGATATATCAGCATTTATAAACCTCAAGACAGAACCATCAAGAACTGGAAGATTGTTCAAATTCCACCCAGAATCAACATATTCTTGATCACCAGGATAAAGATTTAGTGAAGACTTTGTGGGAAATCCTGAACCATGATCCATAGAGTGCAAATCTGCTCCATACTCAACTGTAACATCTTCCTCAACTGAGGATATGATTCTCCAAAATTCTTTTTCTGCAATGTTTGTTGGTACCAAATGACCTGAGGTACTAAAATAATCAGACTTAAACTTATCTGCCATCTCTCCAAACTGTTGTAAGGTGTACTCTCTTTCAGCTTGAGCAAAACCAAATGCTTCAGCCGGTTTATGTACCTCTTCAGCTATACAGCAGGGGCAACGCCAGTCCCCATCTGGTATTGAATTCAGAGGAGGTTTTAAACAAAATGTATGGTAAGTGTCAGAACAACCATTGCAAATCAAAAGAAGATCATCCCTGTGATCCTTTTGGCAAATAGCACATGTGTAAATTGCTAGAGGATCTAAATCATATCTTGGTCTCTTCCTGGATTTAGTTATGTCAAATTCTTCATCATTCAACCCAGGCATTTTAGGACCTGGTCCATAACAAGCTAATCTTCTTAGTTCTCTGCTTTTTCTCAGTTCTTCTATATCAATTCTCATCTTAGAACATTCAGGATCAGTCTTAATATCAGATCCAGTTTTTGTCTTTTTAATACTTGTATGAGGTTTTTCATCACACTCGTCCTTGATTTTAGTTATAGATTCAATAGAAACTTCTTTAAAAGATTGTTTGTCATTTTCACCATCATCTTTGATCTCTGATTTTTCAGTCTTTTTAACAGTTTTCAGAATATCAGCTTTGCTCTTCTCAAATATATCATATGGAAGTAATATTTTCTCATAATTGCTCCTTAAGAAATTCATGGTGTTAGCATTTTGACTATAGCCCATGGCATTGGCAATCTTACGCCATTTTTTAGGACTATTGCAGTTTTCAAATCCACCTTCTTCATCAACCCAAAATTTTAGACAATACAGATCTAAAGTTTTATTTTCAATCATGGGAATCTTTAGAGGCGAACCTTGAAGTTCCCAAAACTTTAAAATCTTTTCAAGGAACAATAACTTCAATCGCGTTATGGCTTCCAACTCATTCACCTTTTGTATTCGTGGGACAAATTTCAATTTATCGACGTCTAGTGAAAAAGGTGGCTGCCAACGCGCAGGGGGTTTTATTTTACAGATTCCAGTTTTCTCAGCGACTGGGCGAATCTTAGCGATGTACCCTAAAGGATCTGCGAATTCTTCGGGTGTAGGCTCAAATACGGGAGCCTCCGGTGGTGAAGTGAAAGTGAACTCTGCGCTTTTGTGCATGGCATTTTTCTGGATATTCTTGCTATCCATTGCGGAAAACAATTGAAAGCTACGGAAAACAGTCAAATATCTTCCTTCACAGAGAAGTGAACATTTTACAAAACACAATAGTGTACGTGACTTCTCACCATTTGTAAATGGCTCCTAAATTTTTCGTAGATAATCTTGCAAATTGGTCACATCGTTGGCAGACATTTTATTGTGTCTCCAAAGAACACATTTTCACTCAAAACGCTTTGTCTTCCGTTATAAATGCAACCACAAGAACAGCCACACCGTGAGGATATAATTTTAGTCACTGTCGATTTGTAATATTGATTGCACCGGATTATAGACCTCGTGTTATCAACAATATCGTAACGCAACAGTCCCCACACTACGACGCCGAACACGCAACACGCACACAAGTCTTCACAGTTCACAACGCAACGCAACAACATGAAAACTTATTTTGGATTGGTTGTTTTTAGTACATTTATTAGTTTGTTATGTTGGTATCAAATTAAATGAAGTATACCCATAAAGTAGGGTAGTTCAATCAAAACAATATTGATTTTTTTTTCTTACCTTATGAAAGAAATGAAACTTCAAAAAATTTTAAATAATATTACGCTCGAAAATAACTTTCGCATTGTCTTTCATACAATTGCGCGAAATAAATTTACTTAGGAGCTAGTATGTGCTGTCTGATTTCTTAAGTTAGTACTTCTTGTCTTCGTTACCATACAACGAAATTTCGAAACTGACACTGACCAAGTCTAGTGGACGCCATTAAGAAAATAATAGTAATACAACGAAATGACAGACGCACAGTGAACAGCACCGATTATTTAGTGATAGCATACAATTAGTAAGCCCATAATAAAATAAAATACTAAAATATACCTAATGAAAAACAATTTTGGCATGGTAATTTGTATTTGACAGCAGTAACACTAAGTGTCCCCCAGGTTGTACCAACACTAGAAAACCAAAAATTAATTTGACAGATATAGAGTTGAGGTACTCTCTTCAGGACATCGAGTATATAAACAGAAAATGAGAATTAAGGGCCATCAATCCCTGGCAACTCATCAGGCAAATGGGCCTTAGGTCACTTTTAAATATCAACTCTCGTTTGCACTGAAATCACAAATCAGAAAGCTGAAATAGTACAGCGCCAACTACTGACCTGTGTATACGTCTCGGTATATTCCAAAAATATTCTGTATTTATTGTAATAAAAATAATATCTCTAACTACGAGATGCTGTTCCATTTCGGTGGTGTGAGAAAAACAGCAAATTACAAAACAAACGGAATCACATTTCATCGGTAATTAAATATTAAATTATGTCATTTTTCAATTTTCGTCCATTGTAGCAAAGCTTAAGTTAAACTGGTCGTTTTGAAGTGAAACAATTGACGACACCCGTCAATTGTTTCTAATTCGCGCTCGTCAATCGGAGCGCTATTGTCACCGTAATAATATAGCAGAATAGTTTTCAAACAAATTAAATGCCATTTCGTCTCTATTTCTGGATAAATACTCAATGTTTCAGGATTTTCAATCAATAAACAATTTCAATGCACACAATCCGTGTGTAGTAATTAACAAAGGTCGGAGAAAAGTGTTCCAAATCAATAAATACATGTATAGATATAGCTATGAGGAGTGACATAGAGGTGTTAAAACTTTACTACCTTTTTTCGGATTCCGGGTTTTCGAAATGGTTTTACTGCATCATGGGACAACGTTACTCACCTAGTAGTTATGTCCTACGATGTTGGACGACGATATTGTAAGTCAAAGTTTTAGTTTAAAGTAATTCATGTCAGAAAAATGTAGTATATAATTTAGTCTTTCATTACAGTAAACCTGGTTGGCAAGAAATAAGTATGGTGGCAGTGCTTACCCGAACGAACTCTCACAAGGAGCTCGACTGCTACTAAAATGATGATAATGACGAAGATACTAATAATGCTGATGCAGCTGATGATGTTTATATAATTATAATGCTGATGTTACGGGTGGTGCTGCTGATGCGGATGATGCTTATGATGCTGATTTTGCTTATGATGCTGATGATAATTATACTAAAGGTGCTGATGATTCTGATGGTGCAAATGGTTCTGATGGAGCTGATGATGACTGTTGATCAGGCATAACATCGGTATTGGCATTAGCATCACCAGAATCATCAGCATAATCTGCATTGTCAGCACCATCAGCACCATCGGCCACATCAGCATCATCAGAGTCGTCAGCGCCATCAGAATCATTAGCACCATCAGCATCATTAGCATCATCAGCACCAAAGCACCATCAGCAGCATCAGCATCATCTGCAGCATCAGCATCATCAGCATTATAAGCATCTTCGTCATTATCATCATTTTAGTGGCAGTAGAGCTCCTTGTGAAAGAGTTCGTCCAGGGAAATACTGCCACCATACTCATTTCTTCCGCCAAGCAGGTTTACTGTAATGAAAAGTTAAATAAGTACCGCATTTTTTTATGTGGCACCACTAGAATTACTTTAAAATCCAACTTTGACTTCATAAATGAGTGCATAGTTTTATCCCACGATACAGTAAAACCATTTCCGGAAATACGATATTCGAAAAAAGTTATGAATTAAAATTTGGTGGTTTTAACAATTCTATATAACTCCTTGTAGCTATATTTATACATATACGACTATTGGTAATTAATAATTATGCAAATTTATTGCGTTATGTGTGCGTCTTACAAAACGTTATCATTTGATGTCATAGCCTTAAATTTACTAATTTTTAGTAGTTCAATGACATTTCAATATTTATTTTTGCTTGAGGGATTTGCCTCCGCCGACAATAAAATTTTTATACGGCGAAGCGCTCTGTTAGGGCAATTTAAAAATTATATACCTAGTGCCTCGGAGAGCCAAATAAAAGGAAATTTACATTTTTACAATGGGGTTGCAGTACATCTATGTAAATGTAGTTACAATCTAACGAATTACTTAGGTACCTGCAACGATTTGGTCACTAGAATTTTATTTAAAAAAAACACCAAATACGGGACCTAAACTTTGATCGAAGTTTTCTCCAAAACTATCGTAGTGAGACATATGGGAGTTTTGCTCATGCATTCGAAATGAAACGTTTTTCTAATTCTTTTGTTTACAGGGATATGTCCGATCTTAGGAGTAAAAAAAAACGGTGTGTGCTTGCGCCGACTTCGGTGTACTTACCGCTAGGCACATAACGGCTAACTTGAGCGAGTGACGGAGCCGGAGCCATAGGTATATCCACTCGTAACTTTGGCAGAGATATTACCCCGTTCGGTTGCTGGCCTATTCTACGGTTGGTTGGTTGTATGCTCTACTCAAGACTCAGAGTGTAATTTTTGTTAGATCAAAGGTTACCGAATCAAATTATAGTTTATTAAAATCAAAATCAAAATTATCTTTATTTCATAGGTAAGCATTATTACACTTCAAATTATATTAATAGTATTAACCGAAATAAACATGTTCATGGAGAAGATAGATTAGATTTTATTATTTGTGTTAATATGGTCACCGTTCCTAGCTGTGAAAATTACTATGCTAAGTTGGCTCCGCTTAGCGATGCGCGATTGTGAATGATTTCGATATTCGACTCGTTAGTAATCGCTAATCCTGACTTTCGAATGTCAAATTAGTAACCTACTAATTTTCGTATTCGAATGATTTGAATAATCATTAATAATTAGTAGTACTAATCCATAGATTCCCTAGAGCATTTCTGCTCGTAATCACCTAGCCGTTTCCGACATAATGGATGCATAATGGTAAATACTATAAATGTGACGGGGACAGGGATATTTTGGTATGGACATGATGAGGTGTTCCGTATAATAATCATTCGACTCGTGCACCCGACCAAATGGCAATCGGTATTGTTAATCATTCGACTCGAGTCGAATGATTGTGTTTTGATTCGACTTAGGCGAATGATTTGCGCATTCGAATGATTAGTATTAGTAACATTCAATCAAAGTCGCGCATCGCTAAGCTCCGCTCCATTAATACTAAATCATTGTCTTTATTACCTTTAGCTATTGACTTATACAATAATTATTTTGTTATGAACAAAACAATATTTTGTTATTAATAAAAACAATATTTTTTTAGAATGTGAAATACTAAAACGATAGTATAATTGAAAAATTATTACCTACCTATCGTTTAGTTATGTCACTCTATATTGAAACAATATTTATTGGGTTAGAATTATTTTATTTAATGTAGAATACTCACTCAAAACTCACTTAATACTCATTTAAAACTGCCAAACATTTAACATGACAAAATCTTAGCTTAGCTTAGTTCTTTTAGTTGAATATAGTTACGCAAACGAGAACCAATCCACACCTAGAGTGAGATTCAGTTATGTATTTAGGTAGAACACCAGGCGTGTTCTTTACCCGCTCACTAACTAACTGCCTCCGTGGCCGAACGGTTACCATGCCAGACTGCCACGCAAAGGTCCCAGGTTCGATTCCCGGGCCGGGAGAAATGTTTGTATGGCTTATATTTATTTCTCTCGTGAGTTTGGGTGTAATTTGTTGGGTGTATGTTGTCTATGTGTGTGTCCATGGCACCCGCGACACAGGGTTTCCCTAGTGCGGGGCTATGTTGAGTGTGTGCGTTATTTAAAAAAAAAGATCCTGGCAAAACAGGGTTCCAACCCCAAATAAGTAACTTTTTAATAGCTAAAAAGAACCATGCTGCGTAACTTCATATAATGTATTTTTTAAAATATGCTAAATGGATCCATGTCACATGTACTGAAGTACTGTAGATCATAAGCATTTTTATTACGAAAACTAGAACATGGTTCTCGTTAACTAAATAAAAAGATACATAATTTTTTCTATTTATTGCTATATAATATAATAGTTTCCCTATATCATTCTCAATGATACACATAACTCACGTTGTTTGTCTCAAATAACTTATTTATTTCTTCACACTGTTTTTACAAAAATCTAATTATCTCGAACATTGACTTACAATTATATGGACGTCGGGTCCGTGCTAAAAAGTGTCCGAACTTATAGGGCGTTAAAATCGTATACAGAGCGTCATTCACGCTTTAGTCTTCGTTTGTTCGACTGACAGCGAAGCAAGCAAAATTAGACAGTACTGCGATGACATTACAATTTAAATTCAACGTTTTAGCTATTTCATATTCCTTTACATGTCACTACGTTTAAATAGGTTGACTTGGGACATTTTTTTCGTGGTTTTTGTATTAGACCCGTCGTCCATTTATTTGTAAGTCAATGATCTCGAAAGTGACATTTTGTGAGTTGGTTCTAGTTTGCATAACTATGTCCAGTTCTCAGTGGGATTTGGGAATTGGAAGGGAATACGAACCGTTTCGAGCTTTGAAGGACACGGAATGAGATAATCCTTACTAACGATTTATAGATTTAAATAGGAATGTTTTACTATTTTCTTCTTTGCTATTTTATTATAGGTGTTTTTCGAATAAAGATTTTTCATATTTACAATTATTTTCTTTGTGCTTAAATGTTACATTAAAGTTTTATTAAAATGGTGTAACATGGTGTGCATGTGCATGTTAAATTTGATAAAGAAAATAAAAAAAAAACTGTGAAACAAGTTTATTGTATACTTTCTCAGTTTTTATTTGAGTCTTAATGAAATCTTAATATTTACTTAAGTTTCTGTGGTCTTAAACGAGCTGGCACAGGTTCAATCGTGCATCTCACTGGAGCTTGTAATAAAAAACATAATGCCCTTGATTGCCTCGTTCGCACCATCTCGGCTCGCGTCTGGGAACTGAAAGAACGAAAGAACTAAAAAGACAGTTGAACTAATATGATCGCCTCGCGTCTGTGAACTAAAAAGACTCTGTACAATAGGGACTAGTTCATTTCGGTCAGGGAATTCATGAACTATTCGAGCCTAGTGCGCGCGCCGAAAACTAAATGAAAATGTCGTGTTTAGTTTCAGCGTCGAAAAGTTAACATTCAAGGATATTACTGGAATGCAAACCTTCACCAAACTTGCCAAGTTTTGGTGAAATGTACAATGTATAATATTACATACTATAAGACCTGCATTGTTGTCTACATTTTTTAGCGAATAAATTGTATTCTGAAAGAATATAGATAGTGGTGAGTTGAACTTTACTGTACGCATGAAAAATAATCGTTATTTTGTAGAGTATTCATTGTGGCACATTTGAACAAAACAAAGGGGGCAGCTTTGAACACGTTTAGAGGTTCTGACAACAAACATAATAATGATTAGAATTTTACCACCAGTTATGTAACAAATGTTCAAAGGTTCTCCCCTAGCTTATTTTGTTATAGTGTTATTATTTTTTATTTGAATGTTTGGCTTCCTTTAAAACGTAACTTTAAATTGTAACAAACCATTAATATTATAATAGGTATATAATTTCTTCATGTTTATGTATTTTATTTAACTTTAATCCCATTTCCTTTTTTCCGAATTATTTTTCATTTTCATTATTTTTCGTGAATATCTTTTTTCCATTTTTGCAGCGCCACAAAAGCAAACCGCGAAGTGCCAGAAACATAGATCATACACTCTATGGCAGAAACGAAAAAATGTATGGCGCATTAGTGCCTTTGCCTTTTCCAATGGAAAAAATGAAAAAACAGTACCAAAAAAAAAGAAGATAAATAGCAGAAACTATAATAGGTTATTTAACCTCTTAACTTTAGTTTTCCCCCCCCCATATTGTTACTCTATGTAAATTTATCCACTTAAATAACATATATTTATAAATGTTGTTTTGTTGTTTTGTTTTACATTCTCAACTGAGTACTCCCGTGGTCCAACTTACCAACACCGGTTAATGTCCTATTAGAGCTTAGCGAATTTTTTTTCTTTTGTTTCGTTTTTTTTTCTTTCAACCGTGACATTGGCAAAATCATCATTTCCCATAATGGTGGAGCCATAAAAATAAAAAAGTGAAGTGAAATAGGTTATTTATAGGTTACAATTTCCAAGTTGTGATTTAATCTAAAGAAGTCAGTAAGTCAATGAAAGAAACAATAATTTCTGTAATTTGAATAAGAAATTTTCGTCATGTTCAAATCCTTTCGTGGCGCGTTTGTAACAAATGTTCAATTTCAACAACTAAGATTAGGTTCTCGAATAAGAGGCAAACCGCCTACATTGGCTAGAACCATTAGAGAGCGTTTAGATGAAATTAATTACAAAGATGAATTGTACACAACCAGAATAGATATTGGATATCCTCGTTTCAAGTAAGTTACATTTGCAATTGTATTAAAATTACCGAACTATAACGTCTGTGGGCGAAACTCTCACTTGACTCGTATGTGTTACAGGACTTCAGAAAAAGTACGGATCAACAGAATGGAGCACATGAAAAAATTAAAAAGTGACAAAAACCTGGAACAATTGGCACGGAACCAACAATTACAAGTAAACTTGGAAGATGTTCGAACTGAATGGTTGAATACATTAGGGCCTTTGCATAAAAAACAAATTGCTGATCACTATGGGATATTCGAGCATTTGTATGGCGAAGGATATTTCATACCACATTTGAATTTGGAAGTGTTTTACGATTTGAAAAATGAATCCTTTCTTCCCGTTTGTACTGGGAATGTTATTAAACCAGCTGAAGCTTTGGAACCTCCTACAGTTGCATATGAATCAGATGGAAACACATTATGGACTGTAACTATGATAAATCTAGATGGAAATTTGACTGAAAATGATAAGGAATATGTGCACTGGTTCGTTGCTAATATTCCTGGAACTTGTATAGAAAAGGGAGATGTTTTTGCTGAATATTTACGCCCATTCCCTATGAAGGGAACAGGGTACCATAGATATGTGTTTGTTCTTTATAAGCAGAACGGTAGAGTCATGTACGATTTGCCTAAAGGTAAGTAACAAACAACACATTACATTCAATCATAATGGTGTCCATTTGGCATCCTTAACTATGGTAAAATGCCACTCCCTAATAATGATCATATTATTAATTTTCAGTAACATTATCATCGTCTCTAGCAGAGAGGACTTTTGTAACCAGAGATTGGTATAAGAAGAATCAGGATGACATAACTCCGATTGGCCTAGCTTTCTTCCAATGTGACTGGGATCATACTGTAAAGGACTTCTTTCATTGTATAAATATGAAAGAACCTAGTAAGTTCATTTAGAACAGTCACTTTTGCAATATAAAAGTAGTGTGGAAGTGTGTGTGAAACCTGAGAGTTGGTGTTCTGATTCAACTTATCAAATTGTGACATTTGTTAAAAATGATAAATTGCATAATTGCAACTATTTCATTATAACATTTAGGCGATTATCACAATGCACCGCGCCCCGCGACGTGACGCGGAATCACGCGCGCTGTGGCGGAGACGCAATCTGCGTCAACGCGCGGTTTAACCTACGCGGGGGCAGCGGACTAGCGGCCCCGCATCACTTAAAGTACTCGCTGCGCAGTTGATCGCCGTAGTGATTGTATATGTAGCCGAGATCCCTCTTTGACAAGAACTGTTAATAATACAGAACTCATTCAGGACGCTGTAGTTATACTGTCAATTTGGTTTAGTTTACACAAATATAAAGACACCGAAGGTATTGGATACAACCCTTTTTATGAACCAGATCGATAAATGGATTATTGCAACTTCATTACAAAGATTTACGAAAATATGAAGATAAATTTGGTCGATTTTCAATAGCAAATATAAATTTATCTACGTCGAGATCTATTGTAGAAAAGTGAACATGTCCTTAAGCTTAAAAATCTACGCGGTGTGCCATATCCTGCGGTTCGCCTCGCCCCTCCGCGGGGGCGCGGTAAAGTCGCGCGCGCTGCGCTCCCGCGCGGAGAAGCGATGTCAGTGTGTTCGACGGCGCGTGTTTTCCATACAAACTGAGGTACTTCAGTACAATGTTAAAAAACTCAGCACCGCGCTCCGTCGCGGGGTGCGGTACAGTGTGATAATCGCCTTAATGTGGTGGGACATGTAAGGGCGCGTTCCCACTATGTCGTCACGTTTTATTATCGTTGGACGACTATCGTGTCTAGCCTGATCCCATATCACGACTATCTGTCGCGGACGATTTTTTATCGTTGAACGGCTGTCGTGACTAGCTGTTCCCACTAGATCGATAATTTGTCGTTTCACGACAGCCTCCTTGTCGTTTGCACGACAGAATCGTTTGATGCACTGCAGTCGCTTGTATGTTCTTTTGGAAGCCGGTAGTGTGTGTTCGCTCGAAATGGATGAAGACGAAATTTTAATAATGTATTACTTTTTATAGGAAGCAAACAAAGACAAGAAAGTTTTGGGTACATCCAATGCTACTAAAAAGAATTCCATTAGGGTTATGTCAAACGGTATACAAAGTTGCTTTCTTTTCGGTATTATCAAAACCTGCTACGACCAGAGATGGGCAGTGGGTTAAAATAAAATCCAATCAACCTGGCCGTGTTTTTACCAGGTTTTTCCCGAAGCGCCAAGTTGTAACCCATTTCTGCACAAAATCGTGGGCAGAAACGAAGAGTACAGAATTTGGTATAATTCCAACACTAACAACATAATATATAAAAAATTGTAACAAATTTCTATATTTTTATTATACGAAGAAGAGGCATCTCTAAATAATACTCACCACCTGTCCAATCCTGTGGATTCTCAATGAAGATCGATTCAAGTGCATACGATCTAACGATTTATTGTATCAAATTATTGATGAACTTTTCAAGCGAATCTATTCAATAGAAAGGTAAACCGAACTGTCCTGATAATAAAGCAACAAATATTTTGTAATAACATGTATAATTAAATTTGAATAAAACTCAATACACCACAAATATTTACGGTAATATTTTCTGCCCTCGATTTCGGGGTTTAACCCGATTTAAACCCAGTGTAACAAAACCCCGGGTTAAAACCCGGGCGCTTACCCATCTCTGGCTACTACCCAACGCTACTGCAAAGCAAGCAGAGGGCGCGGGGTACGAGAGGGGAGGGCAGGGAGCAGAATACGTGCGGACAGCAGCGATAAATAAAACGTGACGACAACCTGTCGTCACGTTTTTATCGTGACGACAATCTGTCGTCACGTTTTTATCGTGACGTTTTTTATCGTCTGACGACTGTCGTTCTAGCTGTTCCCACTGTGACGACAGTTTGTCGTTGTAACGATAAAAAATCGTGAACGACAGTTAATCGTGTCGTGCTATATGTGAACAACTTCATTTAAATATACAAGCCACGACACTGTAAACTGCACGACAATCTGTGACGACAATGGTGGGAACGCGCCCTTAGTTGAGCACCTGACGGTGATCTACATGCCTGTCCATAACAGTTGCAGTGGCGCACAGAGCTTTAAATTGCTAAGATATGAGGATGCTAAGATAAGATATGCCACTGCACCACTCTGAGACATGTTTTTTTTTTAAATAATAATAAAATAATAATATCTTTATTGATAGCCATTACAAATACTGCAGAAATAATACAGTAATTATTACTTATTGCGGACCAGTCAGGCAACATCTAGACCCCACAAAAGGATTTAACCTGTTAGCAGATAGTACTGTTGCCGCTAAGGCAAGCGTCAATTGAATTTTTATCAACAAATGGCTTACAAGTAAACTAAAAGGAACTCTGTAGTCCCAAAACCAGTACAATAAAGCTTCATTTGGGACTCAGAAAAGAATAAAATTTGAGAAAGATGTTCGAAGAGTTAGTACAAGTAAAAGTTGACAAGTCCCATGTGCCTGTAGTTTCACCAAAATCTTACTCTTTCTTACTTTCTCTCAACAGTTTAATACAATAGAAAACTTGTAACCGCACGGTGACTAATCACATTTATAACATTGAATTTTCTTTCCAGTCTACGAATATGACTTCTCAGCACCTTACCTCAGACCCCAAGAGTGGTTCCCTCACAGAAAACCATTCAATCTGTACATGGACAAATACCGGGATCCTAAACAAATCAACAAAGAATATCTGCTACGGAAATTAAAGGGTGAAGATCCATTTAAGAGACCACCACCTCCTTTGAAGTTCCCCAATGCTCATGCACTACCTCACAGTATGCCATCATGGTTGAAGCTACATGAAAAGAAAATCCGATTGCGCTGGGGCAGAGTTAATGATGTTTAATTTACGAATTAGTTATGAGCAAGGGTTGCCATTTTTTTCTCAAATGTTTAATTTGATATGATAGAAGAGATTTAAGTAATATTGATAGAGCTGCTGTGTACACTAAGGCTCCTTTTGTGCTCTAGTTCTGATGCCAAGTTTCAGAAGTATTTGTGAACAATGGAATAAAACACACAATAACTTACACAATTTTTATATCCTTTATAAAAATAATTAGCATAAATCAGACAAACCTTATGTAACAAGCATGAAAACTTGCAATCCCTGACCACGAGACTAAATATTCCCATAATACTAAAGTCCGCTCATACCTCGAGTATAAGTTGGTGCTTTTAAATTAGTTCGACTAGATCTAGCCCAAAGTTAAAATTGCTTAAAAGTAAAAAATTGCGACATTAGTGTTAAAGCAACTAAACGCTTTATGTATTGTTTCGGACATAAATACAAAATATGAGCGCGACGTTTTGCTACACTATGCACAAAAAACAATAAAATTACAAAATTTTCACTGAATTAGCATGTGGACAACATACAAATACATGGTCAAATCATAAATAAGTTCAAATTAGCAGTAGATAAAAACAGTTTAATTATTTTAACAAAAAATATGGACCTTTAAATCCAATAGAAGTTTAATAAAAAAAATTGTTATTTGTATGTATATGTAACAAAGGACGAGCACCAACCTTTCCTATCAAATATACAAACAGTAAAACTACAATGGATATAGGAGCACAATTTGTTCATCTGTACAATTTGCGCAATTTCATACTGGGTTGTTAGTTGTTTCAAATGGAATTTGAATAAATTTTGAGAACACACAATGTTTAAAATGCATGGTCTTAAATTGCATTGCATGGTAAGTACAATTAAATTTAACGTTGGGTATATACTGCTACATATATTTGATAAATGCTACCCGTTAGTACCTATTTTAAGCATATTCGTGAATAATACGTACTATTACCGATAAGCTAAATAAAATGTTAGTGTAGTACCGTATATTTGATGTCATTTAGTACGAGCACATTATCCATAACGCCTCATTTATATCTGAGTCGCCCTCACAAATGACTGGTGTGCGAGCATTATTTCAAAGCAGTCAGCGCTGTTTGCATCATTACAACTCCCTTACTTTTTCGCCGGTGTTTATGAAGATGATGGGTAACTGCTTGTAGCTGACGCAATGGTAATTTTGCCTTTGGTTCTTTGGAATTATAGGAACTGGAATAGGACCTGTGCATACACAGACTGGAATTCGAAAACCTAATGAAGATTTCGAATTCCAGTGCGTTCTCATCTCAACGCAGACAGGACCCAGTTTCGATTCATCAACAAAGAGCGCTTCACAGTGAGCTGTTCAGATGTAAATGCGGCTTGAGAACGGTAGCATTAACATGGCATCGAAAGGGTTATTATGATGTTTAGTCGAGACCAACGTCGTCATCAGCTGAAGGTGGCTTGGGCGCTGTAGGGCCACCGGCCCCTGGGGCGCCGCCAGGCGGTGCTCCACCGAAACCTGATGAAAATTTAAAACAATAGATAAAAATGTAGGACTTTATAGCTTATCTATTATATTTGTCAGAATAAATTAGGCAAGTGCAAGCATGAATTTATAAACCAGTAAAACAAATAATTTAATAAAATTTGACAGAGTTATAGACATACCATACGGAAAATCAGAGAATGATGTACCAGATTTGCCAAGCTTGGCCTGCAGCTTCTCTATAACGGCAGCGATCTTAGGATTGTTCTGGTATTTGACGAAGTTGGCCGGATTCACTGACACATCTTGCAATGCCACTGCAACTTCTGGATCCTGTAGTATAATGTTGGTTCAGTCGAAGATTTGTTGTGTGAATGTGAATACAAAAAAAATACAATTAGGTAATGTGATGAAACTTAAGGGTAATAAAATTAAAGAGCTAACAAAATAAAAATCTGATAATGTTTTATCTTTAAAATTTTGTATAGTTTTTATGAAAATATAAAAATTTATTAATGTAATAATATTATAATTGTTTACATCAATATAATTTGAGGATTCTAGCACTGCTACTATTTTGCTTTTGCTATATTTATTTCAAACTTAGGTATTGTTCTAGTTGCCCAATTTTATGGCCCGTAAATGTAGGCACGTGTATAAAATTTTGCAAGTCTATTGTGGTACTAGAAGTGTGAAAAAAAATCCCAACGGATTATTAGCTTGTTATCATTGAAACTACTGAAATTAATTTCGCGTTCTACTAATTATTACAATTAGAATATTGCATTTTAAAACGCCGTAACAATTATACCTGGAATGCGGCCATGATTTCAGGATCAAAGAGCAGATTTTTGAAATAATCTGCGTCAAAACCACCAGCAGCACCAGGAAAGCCCGGAGCTCCAGCGAAGCCCGGGGCCGCACCTGCTTTGGCACCGGCTGCGGCGGACTCCTGCTGAGCGCGCGTCGCATTCGCTCGGGCCTCTTGTGCCTTACGAACCCTGCGCAACTTGTCGCGATGCTGAAATTTCCGTACCAACCATATGCACATACTATTAAACTATAGACACAGTTGTAATACTTTTTGTTAGCGTATGCGTTGACACCCTCATAAGAGGGTAATTTTCAGGTTAGTTTTCTCTACTTAATAGGTGGCAATGTTTACTACACTCTAGCCAAATTTCACATAGAATAAATGTCAACAAACAAAAGCGATTTTTTTAGGGTTTTCATACTATGGTTTTCTCCTCAGGCAGATTACGGTTACCACAATTTTAAATTTGATTTGGCTATTAATGATAGTTAATGTTGAAAGTCATGTCTGTAATGAATTTTGATCAGTAGAAGTTTCCAATCACTAGGAAATGGTATAATTACCGTTAATTAATGATTTATATAACTAACTGTCTTATTCCTAATGATTTTTTTTTATTCGAAAGGAAATGTCCTTTCGCAATGGCAAACATTTGAGTTCGGGTAGTAATTCAAGCGCAGAATCGAAAATTGATGGTGGATGAGATTTCTAATAAATCAATATAAAATAAAATCTTACCATTTCTATTACTATCCAGCGGTAAGTTTTAATCGGTATGAAAAACTTAATTGTTTTATTCATAAATAATACGTACCAATAGGTACTTATTATTATTATTAAGGACTATTCACATTAGACTGTGCCGGGCGCGAACCCAGTCAAGTACGAGATTCTGATTGGAATCGCGTATTTTTTATACGAAGTGATTCACATTACTACGGACGAGGGGCGCCCGAGCTGCTTCCGAGCTCGTCCGAGCCTCGAATACGGCGTGTTTCGCCTCGGCTCGGAATGTGAACACTCTCCAGTGCGTCATACGCGTCTCGTGCGAGTGTGCGTTTTTAAAGTGAGTGACTACGTTCTTTTTTACAAAATGGATGATGAAAAATATCCTCTATATACATATATCATAAGAAATTACCCAGTGCTTTATAATATGACATAACACTACGTTCGTATTCGAGCGTAAACTGCGTCCTACCGACTGACTCAGTCTAATTTAAGATTGTGCGGCACGTGCGAGGCTCGGAAGCCTCGTACACAGCTCGCGTCCGGCACGGTCTAATGTGAATCATCCTTTAGGGTGGCTCCATTCAGGGCCCATGCATCCCCTCATCACTGCGACCATTGACTGATTGTGATCACCACAAATTACAGTGCAGAGTCAAGGCCGCCAGCATTAAGGAACTGAAGGACTTTCCTCGCTTCGACAGATTATTAAATCTGTTTGTGGCATGTGCTTCTCCTCTGGTTGTGGCATGTGCTTTCCCAGTATGGAATTTTGTACGCCCATCAGGGGTAGCATTGGGTGAGATGAACAGGAGTTACATCCCGCCTTGTGGCAGAATCTACATTCTCTATTCCCTCTCTACCAATAGGTACTTGGAAAACTTTATAATAAACTTGGTCAGGTAAGTATTACTTGTACATAATCCAATTACCTATTTAAATTCCAATTACGCGAGCAGGCCGTGGGCCGAGTGAGCCTAAATAATGAGCAATGACAAAAAATGTTCTGTTACTATGCCAACTTTGGTTACCTAGCAATGTCATGTTATTAAACATTCTATATCGAATTTGGCTAGTACATAATTTTTTAGAATATGTAGGCACCTTAATTATATGCAAACACCACAATAATACACAAACATAACCATGCTGTACAATAGTGCAAGTTTTCAAGGATGAATGGGCGAAATAATACTAGCCCATATCTTTTACGGTGGGTAGAAATGGATTAGATAAATCAAATTTTGGGCATGGACTTTTTCATGTGTCATAGCCAACTAGTTCGCCAAAAGTGGATTGTATGGCTTATCGTTCTGTTTGGAGATATGGTATCATAATAATAAGGTATTGACAGTAAACAAACCTCCTTTTCCTCTTTCTTGCGCTGAACGCTGAGTTTATGCTGACGCAGTTTCTCAGCGTTAGGTTTCACATCAGATAGCCACTCGTTGGTCTGATCGTCGTAGTCAATCTTCAAAGACTCGCACAGGTCGTGTGATGCCTCCTCGAATTTGCCAAGTAGTCTGTAAACGGATAAAAATATGCTATGGTTCACAGACACAACAAAGTTGATATTTAAGAAAGTTGGATATTTTCAAACATATAATAAGTTAAACAAACCTTAAATAGGTTTTTAAAGTTTATAAGACCATAATTAGGATGAATTGACAAAAAGTTGAGGACAATTTGTTTTTTGTTCTCAACTCGACCATGTCCAACAACTTCGTTCCACCGAAATTGTAATGTTAACATTGTTATGTGTGTCTAAACAAAAACCTAAAAGAATTTAGACCTTCGGTTCTGTTACTCTAATTCACTTACTACCGTAGTACTATTGTTCTTATTCAATACCTGTATGCGCGCCCACGGAATTTGTAAGCAGCAGCACTGTCACAGTTAAGTTCCAGAGCGCGAGTGCAGTCTTTGATGCAAGCATTGGGCTTATTAAGTTTGAGGTACACCTATGAATACACAAATATCACAATGAAAAATATATACAATATTTAATAAGTAAAAAAAAAATGTACCATTCAGCAAAAATACATAGGTTATGTTTTAATATTGCTGTGAATTGTTTTTGAAAGTTTGAACCTGTTGAGTGCATCTATTATATATTATATATATTTGGCTTAGTGGATGAAAGCTTAGTTAAAAAACGTTGGCTCAAATTATTTTTGACAGCTCTACTGCACATAATCTCTATTCTTATCTCTTTCCGTCATATTACATTAACGCATGTGAGAAAGAGAAAAGAAGTTAAGTAACAACCGTTACAATATACCTCAAATTAAAATTAACTCAAACATACCTGCCCTCTCTTAGCAAATAACAAAGCACTCTGTGGATTCAGCTGGATGGCTTCAGTGTACAACTTGATGGCCTCATCAAACTGCTGCTCGGAAAATGCCTTCATGGCCTCAGTCCGTTTCTCATCAGACTGGTCTCGTTCTTCATCTGTAGGTTCCTTCTGAGGATCTCCCATTTCTTGAGACTCATTCACTGGGTCGGGTTCTATCACACCTGTTTTAGAATCATGTTACTACCTAATTGAAAACATATTTTCCGCCTACTTCAAAAAAGGAGGAGGTTCTCAATTCGACAGCATTTTTTTGTGTGGCTCCTTCATGTACATGTAGACCCTTCATGTACATATGAGCATTTGTATGTTCTAGTCATTGACTTACAAATAAATGGACGACGGGTCTAATACAAAAACCACGAAAAAAATGTCCCAAGTCAACCTATTCGAAATTTAAATTGTAATGTCATCGCAGTATCGCGCTGTCAGTAGAACAAAAATGAAGACTAAAGCGGAGTGTCGCGCTCTGTATACGATTTTAGCGCCTTACAAGTGCGGACACTTTTTAGCGCGGACCCGACGTCCATATAATTATTGTAAGTCAATGGTTCTAGTACTCATATTATTATAATACAAGGAATTCTCTAATTTGGAATCACGGTAAATGATGTGATTCTTTTATATTTGCCTGTTTGGGAATAAATTAACCTATATAGACCTTAAGTCCATTTTGGAATTTAGATGTTTTTACAAACATTGCTATAAACTGCTAAAAATCACGCAATGGTAAAAGACGTCAGCATCAGCTATCGTCGTTTGTTTTTATTTGACCTTAGGATAATGGACCTCAAGACGCTGACAAGCGTCGATGACCTTGAGCGATAACGCGCCTACTATAATTTCTCCAATAAGGTGGCGCCACACGCCCCAATGCGGTAAGAGTGTGGTACTTGGACCTTCCGCTTGATTTAACATAATATTGATAGCCGCTAACAGATGGCGTTGTACTTAAATACACACATGCTATCAAATCAAAATATATCAAAGCTTTTAAGAACTGGACATGTTATGCAAACAAGAAACTACCCACACCTCGAGTGAAATTGAGTTATATATTTAGGTAGAACACCAGACGTGTCCTTAACCCGCTCACAAAAGATCCTGGCAACATACAATACAAGCCAAAACGGAGAAAATAAAAGTCCTTCAGGGTACCAACCCTAAATAAGTAACTTTTTAATAGCTAAAAAGAACCTTGCTGCTTCTTATAACTTCATATAATGTCTTTTTTAAAATATGCTAAACGGATCCATGTCACATGTACTGAAGTACTGTAGATCTTTGGCGTTTTCATTACGAAAACTAGAACATGGTTCTCGTTAACTAAATAAAAAGATACATAATGTTTTCTATTTATTGCTATATAACATAATCGTTTCCCTATATCGTTCACACTGCTACAGTACATCGTTTGTCTCAAATAGAGATGCGCCGAGTACAAGTTTTACCAAGTAACCGAGTAACGAATATTACTCGGTTTAACATTTGCCGAGCCGAGTACTCGGCCGAGTTACTCGGTTCATTACAACCGGAACGCGATGATCCTAAAACCCCCGTTGCTCTAGAATTAGGCCGATATGTCAATGAAAGTTTATTGTCGCGAGAGCAGAGTCCTTTCCAATGGTGGGAAGAGCATAAAACAAAATATCCAAAACTGGCACAGTTAGCACGAGTGTTTTTATATGCACCTGCAAGCACTGTGTATAGCGAGCGATTATTTGCCGAAGTGGGTAATGTATATGAAGAAAAAAGGAACAGACTATTATTACCTGAACGCGCAGAAAGCCTTGTAAATATACCTGCATCATAACTTGCCTTTGTTAAATTTTAAATATTATTAATGTAAACTTTCTTTTTAAATTACTAAATTGCTAGAAATTGTTACAATTGTCTACAATTTCTAGTAATAAATCTCTTTTGAATATTTTAAATATATTGTTGATTTTACTTTATTATGTCTATAGCAGTGATGCTTTATTTTAACCGAGTACTCTTCTCATGAACCGAGTTATTCGGCCGAGTACACAGAGTACCGAGTAGTAAACGAGTACTCGGCGCATCTCTAGTCTCAAATAACTTACCTATTTATTTCTTCACACTGTTTTTACAAAAATGTAATTGTCTCGAAAGTGATATTTTGTGGGTTGGTTATAGTTTGCATAACTATGTCCAACTACATATCTCGTAAGTATCGTGCTCGATGGTAGACAGCCGATTACAATACAATATAAATTAATTTGACAAAACTGGTCAAAACAGAGGTCTGGCAAGGTATCCCACGAACGAAAGCTACGCAGCAGAAGTTTTCAACGTTGCAATTTAATAAATAATCAAATACGCAAACAATAATTTCATTTTTGTTTTGAATACTTTGTGTTTTCGGTTCTAATCCAACCAAAAAAATTTTTTTTTATTCTCACCTAATGGCAAAATTTGACTTTTTTAAAATATTTTGTTTTAATTTCAACGAATTGGTGCATTATATTTACTTATTTACGTATTTTATTGTGTATGATATTTTTTCACACTGTTAAGTGCCTGTCCATAATTTGCAAGCAAATATTTAGCTCGTACTTTAATAGGCGAAAGTTACTTTTTACTCCTAAAGTCATTTGTCTTTTATTTAAAACAAATAAAGTGTCAGGATCAAGATAAGTACCATTTAAATAACCACACCAAATTTGGTAGTAAGCAAGTTTGGTTTGCCCGAATTATTATTATGTCAAAAAAATAACCATCAGAGTCTCACTGTAATCCAGTTTTTGTATTACCTATGACAATAAGCATATTCTAGGATTTTCAAGCTAGACTTCAAGATACGTGTTACAGATGTACTATTTTCAAAGTTCCACGTGCTATGTTATCGCCAAAAAACTCACACAAAAACACCATATTTAAGCGATTTTGGGCACCTCGCCTTATGAAATGAAATAAGGTTTATTTGCATTGAATACGTAATTACAGGATGGTCGTTATTACATTTGAGTTCATCTATTCAGCCATTATACAAAAGCATGCAAAGTTTGATCTTCTAAGTAGTCATTTGCACTATAACATCCTTTTTAAACTAGGTATCTAAACAGTTCAGTTGTCATTCTGTTAAATGTAAGATTTTTTTATTTCAATAGGTAGTCTATTATAAATTTTCATGCAAATGTAATATTAACTTTTTAAGTAGTGTAGTTGTAGGTATATTTTCAACAAGTCTGTTTGGGTTTCTTTTTGCACGTGGATTAATTTCTATTGATTTTTTAAATAATTTTAGAGGCTATTTGACAAATTTACAAACTTCATAAATATACATGGAAGGTAAAGTGAATATATTTAAATTCTCGAACAGCAGCTTGCAAGATTCCCGTGAGCCGATGCCGCACATTACTGGTATACATTTTTTTTGAGTTATAAATGCTCGTTCAACGTAAGTTCCATCACCCCATATGATTAATCCATAACGCGGAACCGACGCGATGTAGCCGTGGTAAGCAAATAAACAAAAGATTCAGATTGATTGTAAATGCTTAATCAAGAGACTCATTGTCCTTAAAGCGCGCTGTAGTAAATAATATTACGGCACTTAAGGTTCTTTACCTCTTACCTACAGAATTACTACATATTTGTGTTGAAAATTCATTATTTGGAAGTTCATAAGGTAACTCTAACAATTATACTGAACAAGTTTCCTTATGATATTCATGTCTAATTTGTGAGTGTTTTTTCTTTGAACCTTACAAAATACAAGAAGATTGGACATTTCTATGGAAAGGAAACATTTTCATTATGGGAAGTGGCTATATATTCTTTGATGTCCTGTATTCCATAGTGTCTCTTAAACTTCTCCTAACATCATCTGGACAAACTTTATAATTTGCAAGCAGGTTGAGGAAGTATTCCCAACGCTCAACGCCTGTCTATCCCCAAAACTTCTTAATCTCAAAAGGGAACAGCCACATGCTCTTACGGGTCGTAGTCCATATATTAAACACCATTTCAATTTAGGTACCAGTTCCTTCGAAGAGCATGCTTGTTTTGGGGTACGGCCCTGTATATTCTTCTACAATGTTCTGGCGTGGTCGCTCTCCTAAGTTTCAGCAAACCCAGGAGGATGCTGAGATTCTTAGAGGAGCACGGGTGACATGCAAAATGGGCGCCACGATGTGTGAGTTGCAGATACCAACCCATTACACCATACCATAACATGGTTTCGTCAGGGAAAGTTGTTGAGTATCTTGAGTTCAGTTACCTCATAAAATTTCAGACACTAACATTCTGTACATTAATTCCAGTAAAACATAATTATTTTCTTCTGTTGAGACAACTAAGTATACAGAAAAGAATTAGCATTGGGTGTTTTCATTGGGATGGATAGAGGTGTTATTAAATTTTTAAACACATCAGAGAACCAATATTTCTTATATTATGAAATTGTATTTATTTACCTTCCATATCCAATTCCACATCAGACTCCGATTCCGACTCATCCTCTGATGAAGACAGGGGTTTTTCTCCAGGATTGTTGTTTTTTGCTTGACTACAATTGTATAAAACAATGTTATTCCATGGCTAATATTACTAAATTAAAAAATATAGTATTTACAATTATATACATTTAAGTTTTGAAATTGGCATATGCTTATTTGTTTGTAATAACATAGGTGACAAAGACATTATAATAATACATTTTAATTCACTGTGATCGAGTGGATCAAGGTGGCATACAAAGATTTCATAATTTTTGTATGGACACTTGTGCAATAATTTGCTATGCTATGCCATCCCATCAGTTACAAAATTCAAATAATAGAATATCATAATAATATTTTTAACACGTCTCTTGTTTAAAAAGTAAAAACAATAAAAGAAATGAAACGAAATGTCGATTTGTAATGAAGTTTATTGAATTGCAGGATGTGTCACCACCATGGTATTCAATTATTTATTGTGCAATTACTCCACTAGTTTGTTATAATTATTAATACAGAGATTGAACACTTAGAAAAAAATTTGATCCTGCTCAGTATATTGCATACTTTCAAAACTATAGCAACTACTCTTTCTTAAATTAGAGCAGTTTTGTATGGTCTAGTTTGCAGTTCATCCGAGAGTCATGTGTCAATTGGAATAAACTAGGATGACCCTTAAGAGAAGTGTAATTTGAAATATGTAGAGATGGCAGCCAGTATTTCAAACTTTTTAAAGTCTGGTTGTCAAGTCTTAGGGTCGTATTCCAGAACTGTACTCAATGCTCAAGTCAGGATTTGAGCAGACTTGAGTATGATTTCAAGCACTGAAAATACGACCCTAATGGCAAGGACTTGAGTATGATTTTAATTGCTCACTGCAATACTCAAATCAGGACTTGAGTATTGAGTAGAGTTTTGGAATACGACCCTAGGACTATGTGTCTGCTTTTCAAGCCTCTCTTTTGAGCATCGAATACACATTCAATATATGGAGCATTTCCACAGAAAATTATTCCATATCTAAGGTTGATCACAATCTAATCATGATAGGCCACTAAAGCAATAAAAAATTACTCATATTTAAAAGACTGAGTAAAGCATAGGACAAGTTCAGTATTTTACAAGATGTAGAATACATTTTGTCGAGAAATTTATAGATAACGAATTTATGAGTTTATTCATTGGTATTATTATTCCAAAAGCCTGTTTCTTGATTTTATGATAATATTATTTATTACTAGATTATTAAAGGTTTAAACACTGGACCAGTATTGGAAGTAATAATAATAAAGAGCTTTATTTATCTACACTGATACAACAGTTTACAATTAAGGCTAAACCGCCCAGTTATCATGCTTTCACATACATTATTGGAGAATCTGAATGCTATTTATTAAGCAACAACATTCAATTTCGTCGCAATAATACAAGGGCGCGGTCGCCGCGCGGGCCAGAGCCGAGCCAGCCTCTCATTTAAGTTAAAACGTAAAAGCTAAATAAATAGAGCATATTTTGCCATGACAATTCGGCTTCTGAACACGTGCACGAGGTTGCTGCGCAGCGTGCAGCAAACAAAGGCTCTTAAGTATTAAGGAGTATTTTAAAATGATCAGTGGGTTCAGCAAAGATTTGGGGAAATGATCAGAATACAAAATCATTCTCTGTGCAAATGCGGCCTAGAGGTGTGTAACTTGGAGCGCATATTTTTCAATTACTCTTAACATCTCCGGCTTGTTTTATAACTTGTTTTTATAACGTGTTGTTCAAAGTGACAAGTCAATACTGTCACTTTGAAACTAAATGGGAATTATTAATATAACTTAAAGCCATTTTGAGATAATACTATGTTAATTGTTATGTGTGATATATCATTTTGATATTCCCACAAATCAACCCAGTACAGGGGGTCTACTCTCGATCTCCGTCCGAAACAATTACTGCCAAATAAGCAATACTTGACCAAATGAAAAGACATGTGAGGTGAATGAAGCTTCATACTGGATATGTGTCTTTTAATTTTGTCAAATATTACTTATTTGACAGCAATTGTTTCGGATGGATGTCAGACGGAGATTGTGAGTTGCCCCCCTGCTTGCTTTACTGCACAACAGCTGAAATAGGTATGGTGGCAGTACTTTCCCAGACAAATTTTTCACATGTAGCTCTATTGCTACTAAAACCTTATCTGTGGATTTATCTGCTAATCACCATTTGATGTGCTTTATTAAAGCCATGGACTTTTAGAATTCAATAATAGTACCAAATTAATGATATGCCATGCTAAAGTTTGTATTCTAATCATTGTATTGAAAGAAATAAATAATTGGGTTGTATAAGCATAACACGCAGCCATGAAGTGAACAGCTTTTTTGTGTTGTGCCCTCTATGTCCTAGATAACATGTATTGTCCATAATAGCCACATGTCCTGTTTTTCTTTTGTTGAAATTGCGAAAACAAGTCATTTTCCATAAAAAGCATACTCACCCATCTCCGGACGACGCAGAATAGTTTTTTGCGTCGATATCTGGTAGAGGAATGTTCGCTCCAAGTCCAGTTAAGTACTCCTTGAAAAACGCTAACTTCGGATTGTGCAGGAGTTGCGGGTGACTCTTGCAAATTTCCACAAATTTCTTCAACTCCGTTAGCTGTTCTTCGCCGATTGGACAACTCATATTGTTCTAGAAAGTGATAAGCTGCCGGCAAAACAACAATTTTGGACAACGAAATAGTACAGGACAAAACTATGTCAAATTATATAGAGAGTGGGATTAAATTTTTTTAAGTAATAAATGATGATTTTTAATGGATAAAACATAGATTTACTTACATTCTACGAATAAAATAAATGCGAACTGCTGAGCCAAAATGCACGACGCCACGGACACGGACAAACAAATTTGACTTGACAGATTTTTTTCTGACAGGTCGTTTTAATGTTGCCCGTTTAGGAAAAAGAATGCATAGGTAACATTATAGTATAAGTAAGGTAATAAATTCGAATGAAAGTTTATGACATCCGTAGCTGTGGTTACAAAAAAAAAAACAGATTTTTTCTATTACCTCGTAAAGAACCAAAAACGGTTAGTTATTTGCATGCAGTCGGAGTATAAATATTAAAAGATTTAATACCTAAATATTTCAGTGTGGCCAAGTTATTGGTTCAAACTAGCGATGGGACGCGTTGTATTTTTTCATTTTTTGATTGGGGACTCGAGTTGTCTCGGCTCGGTGTCTGACAGTGTAATCGCGAGCCGCGAGTAGCGAGTAGCGAGAGCGATGCATATATTCATATGAACTCGAATCGACGATTCACCGAGCTGGGAACTATCGGCCGGCCGACCGCAACTCGAGCGTGCTCCAAATCGACCGAGTGAAAACGAGTAGCCGATGCGCTGCCTGTATGAATGAAGTATTCGGCTCGACGCGGCGGGTGGTTCCGAACCGAGCTAGCTCCAGTTCATAAGAAAGTAGCTCGAGTTGACTCGTTGTGGGATTAACTCGTGTTTATCGAGTTTGTTGTTTGTTTTGTTTTTTGTTTTTTTTAACGCCCATATTCAACATAGCCCCGCACTAGGGAAACCCTGTGTCGCGGGTGCCATGGACACACACATAGACAAACACAAATTACACCCAAACTCACTGTAATAATTCGACTCGCCCTTCGCTAGTTCAAACCAATGACTTTAGTTTTGTATCAAAATATTAGGCGATTATTGCGATCAAAGTTAAAAATATTAATGATTCTAGCACAAATATTTTAGTTCTCCTTTATATTATGACTTATTATTAATATAGGCACTAATGACCCCGCTAAAAACCACATGCCTTTAATAATAACTAAATATCTATCCATCCCATTGACCTACCAATAAATCAATGATCCATCCTTATAATTTGTGGTAGATTTGTCTTTTGTAAACCTGTCCAAGTAGGTATACAGAGTGTAATAATAAGATCCGACCATACTAGTGAAATATTTTAGCATAGCAAAAATTCGCGAAAAATATTCGATTTAAAAAAAAATCGCGCGGTAAATCGGAAACTTGTATGCCAACACTAATATCCTTCAATCTGTCTGTTGCATACTATGTACATATGTATATAAGGGAAATCCATAACTTAATCGGAACATACGTTTCATTAATAGGAAATTTCTATGACAAAACAATAGTTAACGGCCGAAGCAATTATGACGTGTTAAAAAATAATTTATGACAAAAATATACCAGTAATATATTTCCAATGCTAATTTGATGATGCATCATTTGCCGTGAGGTGTCAGGACTTTAGTATCGATTCATGTTTTATACGGACCGCATCTACCTCATTATTAAATTATTATGTTTATTTTTAAAATGTTGGAGTGATGCACATTATACGCTTTACAAATAATAAGATTTATGTAATGTTTGAGTTGTAGATGTATCTTCGAACTTTTAATTTAATAATAATACAGTGAATGTTTAAAAACAAAGTGAAAAGTAATCATAATGTTTGTAACCAGACTTGATTTTATTCTAGCCTTTGTCACAGGTGGGTTGTATTATTAAAATTCAAGGTACTCATGTATTTCGCCGCTTACACATATAGGTACTTGTACACTCAGCCACAGGTCAAGTCACTATCACAATTTTAATGCTGTCTAGGTAAATGATGTTAGTTATAATTTTCAATAATGAATTTCGATAGTTTGTGTATATTTAGCTGTGGTCCATTGTAAATGATTTCTTGTCCCATTATATACCTACCACGTCCTACTTCTGGGTATAATTTTCAAATAATTTTGAACCTTCTCCGATGTAGGTACATGCTTCGATATTTTCCTCATCATCCTATTTAAGAGTCAGACTCTTATCGATGTAGCCTCCTCCACTCTTACGATGTTCTGCCCTAGGAACGAAAAAGGCACAACTAACATTTTTACCAAATTGTTTGTTACATACTCAGCATCAGGAAAAAACAGTCTTTTTTACGATACCAAGAGACGGGACGAACAAGCACACGACTTGTTCGTCCCGACACTTGATATTATAAAAAAAACCCTTTAAAACCGGAATGCAATAATAGGAAGATGGCAGTATTTTCCTCGACGAATGCTTTCACAAGGAACTCTACTGCTATTAACTAGACAGATCTATCTGTCTATTAAATTTTTTGTAGAAGTTTAACTCCATAATTGTTGGATACTCAGTATGCTCCCAAGGCACAACTCTGACATCAATATTTTTTCTATCATATGAGGCCATATTTGACGTTTATTTAATTAAAAAACTTATTTAAATGTCCTTATTATGTAGTTCAAGTATTAAAAATTACATTTAAGTTATTTAGTTAATACACATGCAGTTTTTTTACAATATCAAGTGACGGGACGAATAAGTCGTGCGCCTAATGGTAAGCTTGTAACACGCGTGTCCATAACAGTTGCAGTGCCACCACTCAGAGCTTTAAATCGCAAAGATCTGAGGGGCACTGCCACTGCGCCCATCACCCTGAGACATAAGTTGACAAGTCCCATATGCCTGTAATGTCACCAGCACCCTTATCCTTCAAAATCGGAACGCTGTAATGCTGACATTACACTTGGCGGCAGAATTAGATAAGGTGGTAGTACTTATTTTTGGTTATTGTGTTGTATGTACCGATGAATAAATGTTTTTCTATTCTATTCTATTCTATTCTACTTCATTGCATAAACTCTTTCACAAGGAGCTCTACTGCTACTATATAACTTATTGTTTCGGTTTTTTTTTCTACTAAGTAAAAAGAGAAAATTAAGTTTAACATAAATAATGTACTTCATATCACAAATACATTTTAACTATCCTTTATTTCCGAAGAACTAGCTAGTTTTTAAATTAATTTCTCTCCGAATTTTGAATTTGCTGCTTGTGCCTTTCTTCTCTTCCGAGGGCAATATTTTCCTGCCATGTGCCAGACAACCACATCAATTGCCCGGTTTCAAAATAGGGAATTCCCTGTACTATGAGTACCCGATCATTTGGCGCCCATTTGGTGCCCATTTGGCGCTCATTTGGCGCCCACAGTGCAAACTGTTGGGCCACCAAGGTAGTCAAATAACTAAGAAATGTTTTTTACTTACCTGTTTCTTAAAAACTATTAAATGTAAGGTAATTACTTACTTCGCAGTGTTTTCAAACTTTGAAAGAATCAAGTGCGACGAAGTAGAGTCGGGGAGCAAAAATCAAGATGTCCCAAGTTCGGTAGACTCGAGGTTTTTTGGCCTCGGTGGATTTATCAACCAACTGTTCCCTGGGTTTAATCAAGGAAATCAGCCTAGGCCAGGCCGTAATCCGGGCGGAATAGATTTCCCGGGCAATTCACAGTTTTATCCCGGAAGACCTATTCAGGTAAGTAATTATTTTGCTCTTTTTATTTCCTGTTCACGTCGCCGCAGCTTTAATTAATCTGCTTTGAGTTTCTTATAGGAAACGATTGGTATTTAGGCATCGCCCCTACGAGATATTATGCTAGAGGTATAATATCCATATAACGATTTTCTTTTAGGTAGGTACCTACGGTAAAAAGACATTTCCCTGAAATAATTAATAATTATTAAATTTACATTAGTGGTCCAAAGCAAACGGAAAATAACGTTTGGGCGAAGGTATTATTAAGTTTACCTACTCATAATGATTAAGGTAAGGCTACAAAAAGGTAAGGCCTAATGGATATTTACTCTATTTCCAGAACACGCCACCACAGCAGTATTTTAATAATCAACAAAATCAATCGCCAATGATAGATGATGCCAAATATTACCCAAATCAAGGATATTTCGGGAATATTCAACCGGGTAATTATGGTAACTATCCAAACCAGGCAAATGTCGGTAGCTTCCCTCAATGGCAGGGTCCTCTAGGCAATGGAAATGGTTTTGGTTCAAGTCAAGGAGGGTTTCCAAATCAATATCCGAACCAGCACGAGTACCCAAGCCTAGGTGGTTATCCACAAAATGTAAACCAACCTGAATTTGGTGGGATTCAGGGCAATCCATACCCAAACCAGGGTATATCAGGTTATCAGCCGACACCATACCCTACCCAGGGCTGGGCAAAATACATGCTACGTCTTAATTGAAATACAAATTACAAAATACTTCCTTATATGTATTTAAAATACGAAATACCAAATACTTTCTTGGGGTGTATTTGAAATACAAAATACAAAATACTTTCATGGGTTGTATTTAAAATACAAAATACAAATACAAATTACAAAATACTTTTTTAATATACCTGTCCTGTCGCGACATTCGGAAACCAACAATTTCCTTCAATGTTTTTTCCTTCCACAATACATATCTTGAAAAAGAAGTTTTAAATTATTATTTTTACAGAAATACAATTAACAATGATTACAGGTGTAAAGAAATAAACAATATACGATATTTATGCTCAGGCCACACAGAGGCGGCCGCGGAAGCGTTCCGGGCGCGGGCATTTTTGTAATGTACGAGTTCATATGAGCCCTGCCACACTGAAACGCGCGGCCGGCGTTTCCGCGACCGCCTCTGTGTGGCCGGAGCATAAGTGTACAAAGCGTGGGTGTGTGTAGTGCTTGTGTGTTGAGTGAGCGCTATTGGCTATCTCAATTGGATCTAATTCAGATAGCCAATAGCACGCACTTATTTTAATTTTACCGCACGCGTCGCGATTGTCATGCGTAGCTATGGTACGAGGGCTGTAGTGAAAATATAGTAGATTGTACAACAAGTGCATAAAACGCGTCGTTTCACCCGGGGCGAGTATATCCACCGGAGCCGCAGACGAGGGTGGATACTTAAGTCGAGGGTAAAATGGGTTTTATGAACGAGTTATACACTCTGCTTTTCACTTCGATTGCGAGGAAATTAAACAGCAATATTACAAATAAACGATAATTTAATTAAAATTGAATGTAAAACTGCAACAATTAGACATATTTAATGTGATGGGTTTTTCCTTATTTTATGCAGCCTACACCCAGCATAGATACGAACTTTAATACGAAATAGTTATTTTTAACACAGTTGCTCAAAACGTGGTCTTTTTCGTACTACAAATCGTGTCGACAGTTGAATTTTTCGCACTAGTGCTTTTCCTTTTTTTTTTATTTACTGTTGTTTCAAGTCTTAAACATAGAACTAAAGAGGTTGTGTTTGTAAGTAAATATAAGTTTTAATGACGAATGATTTACGTCACAAAGCACATAAATATTAATAAACATTCATTCATTCTCACAGGACATTGGCGAAATCGCCATTTTTTTGTTTAATTTTTATAATAATATTAAACTACCGTACATAGTTATTTTTACTTGACATTGGCAAAATCATTGATTATTTCGATGGAGCCATAACATTTAAAAGAAGAAGGAGAATAAACATACAACCTCATTAGTTCTATGTTTAAGACTTGAAACACCAGCAAATTTAAAAAAAAAATTAAAAGTAAAAGGTACTAGTGCGACAAATCCAACTTTCGGCACGATTTGTAGTACGAAAAATACCACGTTTTGAGCAACTGTATCAAAAAGGTAGTTTTTAATTATTTAAAAAAGAATTCCCTTTCAAGAAAACTAGTCTTTTGAAAGTGCTATCAGATAAACATCCTCTCGTCGGAGAATGTATAAACCCTGCTAAAGAGAATAATCTCTCTACTGGTCCGGAAGAACACAGACTCGTATTAAATTTTATGAAAACTTGTTTTATGTTTGGGTAATGTTCAAGAATAGTTAGCTCTTTACTTTTTTCATTTAGAAAGCTCACTAGCTCTAATTCCATTTTTGATGTTTGTGGCCGATCACTGTCACTATTTATAAAAATAATAAAATCATCATCTTCTTTACTTGTATTGCTGCTTCTTCTACTTCCCTCTTCATGCTTTTTAAAATTAGCCTCTAAAGCGTAAATGGCAAGATTTTGTATCCTTTGCTTTTCTTCGGACGTGGTAGATTCTGGCAGCCAACGCATTTTATAGGCAGGGTGATAGCAGGATGCCAATATGGCTTCATTAACTTCGGGAGATAGTTTAAAAAAGTTATCAAACCTCTTTTCTAAGCTGTCTTTCAATTTAGATACAACTCCAGAAAAATGTCTTAAATTGTTGCCCTGTAACCTTTCTAATCTAGTTCTTACAGACATTAAGCTAGGCAGAAGTTTACCATAATAACAATTATTGCCCTGAATGTAATCTAAAGCTGTTGCAATCGGTTTAAGTACCTCTACAAATTCTTCAAGGTATTCCAGTTCTATAGCCGAGAAAGCGTTGGTCTTCCCCAACTTATCAAATAAATCATTTAATTTTGATTTTGTTTTCATAAGTTGGACAATTGAATCATACAGCGAATTCCACCTTGTAGGACACGGATATACCAATTGATTCCCAAGACATTCTTGTATTATTTCTGCAGACTTGGGCCTTCTGGACATATTCCAGAGCAAAGTACATTTTGCTATTGCTGAGTAATGAACCCTGCTAATGGGAGATTCTTTTATGTAATTATTCATGTCTGTAGTGGCCAAAAGACTTAATGTGTGGCTAGCACATCTAAGGTGCCTGGGTAAATATAATTCCCTAGTTGTTATTTCCTCAATTGAGTTGTGAGGTAACAGAACCTCATCATATAGAATGTCAGAGGCTATACTCGAAGAAGTTCTAACAACTTCCGCAGTATCTGAAAAAAAAACATATCAAGTACATAGGTACGTACAATTGGTACAAATTAATAATATTAATTCACATTACAGTTAAAAATGAAATTTGGGTAGAATTCAGTGGTAAAATTTTTGCCAAATTGAAGAGTAATCACTCTGACTTTTATAAATTAACTGTTTTCTTTCTTACCTGCAAGGTCAGCATCACCATCAGAAAAATCAGGTATATAGTTAGTAACGCCAAATTCTCTAAAAGCCTTCACAAAATTTGACCCATTGTCAGTAGTTGTTGACACCACTTGTTCAAGTTTTAATTTAAACAAAGACTGTATTTCAAATAGCATCTCAGCAATTTTATCATACGTATGTGACCCTTTGAAGCGATCAAAAGATAATACACAACTCATGCGTTTAAGTGTATTTTTATCAATCTGAAACCAAAATAAATATAAAATTAAAAGTATTGTAAAAAGACATTATAGCATATTTTATGCAATAAGACATAAATAAATAAATCAATTAACATGTTTATTACACACCCGAAAGACTATTTCTGAACCTATAGTGGCTATAGTATACAAAAAAAAAAAATTATCTACATGTGTAATATTTATTTGTAGTTTTATTTTATTATAGTTTATATGTATTAGTGTCACCATTTATTATTGATTATATTATGTATTTGTATGTATGATTTAAGTAACTTATCTGTGTTTATTGAGTATGTAGCATTCATTTTTATTTTGTTTTTTATTCCTTTTTCATACAGTATTGCCAACCCATCTACGTTGGTAGATGGGTTGGCTACCAACTAACCTTTGAACAACTGAGAGGATAGTTGAATCCTCTCAGTTGTTCAAAGGTTAGTTGGATTGGAAGAAATCCCTTTATGGGATCATAGCAATCAATCAATCGATCAAGCTCATCTTTGTACACTATTTTTCTACCTAAGTTGTTGTAAAGTTATTGTTGTATAATAAAGTGTTTACATACATGTATACTATATGACCTTAAATGAAGATTTAAAAATCTGCCCAAAGTAAATTAAATAGCTAAGTAAAACAATAAAAGTTTACCCAGTGTGCAGTTACACCAAGGAAGCTTCTAGTTTTTGTTGACCATATGTCTGCAGTAGTTGATACATAGTCCAAATTACTCAAAATGTTTATTAGTTTTTCTGTTAGTTCTTTTTGGGACATTTCAATTTTTCGTCCTAGTGTTCGTCTAGACATTACATGTAAATTTTCTGAAAGGTCAGAAAACATTTTCACAAAATTGGGGTCATCCACTGTGCTAAGTGGTTTCATACTCTGTATAATGTAATTAATGATATTATCATCTAGCTTTTTCTGAGTACTCTTCTGTGACTGTGATTTAAAATCAAGTTGTTTTTGTTTCAATTTTGAATTTGTTTCTTCAATTTTTAACAATTTCTGTCTTTTACCAGTTATACCTTGCTTTACTTTATCTTCCTCATATTTGCTAAGAATATCAGGGTGCTTTCGCTAAAAAACACAATAAAGAATAAGTACATAATTTAAAAAAAAAGGAGTAAAGTTTCAGCAATATAGGTCATTTTTGGTTTTTCATTGGTCTATTGTTGATTTTTTTAGATGCACATGTGTCCAGAAACTCAAAATACACCACAAGATTATAATAAGCATAGTACAGGATAATTTAATTAGTATAGTATAATGTATTATATTTAAATCAAATCAAATCAAATCATTTATTTCTTTGTGATACACAGGTTATAAAGTTGTTACAAGAATGAATTTTGAATCACTGTGATCCGCCTTATGGCATACAAAGTTTTCTTAGTTTTAGTAATTCTCATGCAATAATTTGTAATAATATTATAATCATGCAGTCCAATTAATGCAACCTATTACTAATGAAACATAATAACAATAGTAAAATAATCAATAACAAATTTAATAATATGAAATGTAAATTTTATAAGAAATCTTCAATATTATAGAATGTCCAATCATTTAGGTAATTAAATAATAATTTCTTAAATTCTGCACAATCGTTGCAATTCCTAATTTCAAGTGGAAGTTTGTTATAAACCTTCGTAGCCATTACTATTACACTCTTTTGAAGTAGAGCAGTTTTACATGATCTACTTTTCAGTTGATGAGAACGGCGGGCTCGTGTGACGAATTCAAATAAATGAAGATGACGCTTTACGAAAAGTGAAATTTCAAATATATATAAGCATGGTAAAGTCAGTATTTTCAAATTTTTAAAATGTGGTTGACAGCTATCTGTTTTTTTCAAGCCGCATATAGCCCGAATACATCTCTTTTGGGCTTTGAATATGCGTTCAATGTGTGGTGCATTTCCCCAAAAAATGATTCCATACCTAAGGTTGGATGCTACATAACCATGGTAGGCGGTCACTAGAGCGTCTAAATTTACTATTTTCGATAGCCTAAACAATGCATAAGAAAACTTTAGTATCTTACCACATACATATTCTAGGTGTGTTTGCCATTTTAGATTATTATCTATATATAAACCTAAGAACTTTACTGTCATTGTTTCACCGACCTCCTTGCTTTCATAGACCACTCTAGTTTGCATAGGTTTATTGCTCACAACGTTATTTTCAAGAATAATTAGTAATGGATTTCCTGGCCTACCTTTAAATGCAATCTAAAATTGCTTGTTGCTTTCAAACTACCTTTGATGATAGCTTTACATTGTATACATGTCGCTTGGACGTTGTCTTGATCGTCGTTATTATTAGTGTTACCGGTACTGCTACCAGAAACTGTGAAATACTTTTCCGTTAAAATTAGTGGATACACCACAGACGTAGATGGTAGTTTCTCCATCGTTCTCTATGTATGAAAAAATATGTTAAACTAATCAATACAACCAACCATACTACAGAGCACGTAGTACGTACAATTATTATTAATATTCCCATACAAGACGAATACTTGATATACAATACAAGTATCTACATAAAGTGTTCGTCTTGTATGGGAATTATGCCGTTCATAACACGTACGTTCACAACACAAATTAGAAAGATGGTTCACTTCTTCTTCTTCTTCTTTTAAAAGCTATGGTAAAGATATGCTAAACGATGATTTCACCAATGTCAAGTAAAAATGACCATGTGCGCTAGTTTTGTAAAAATAGGACTTCTACTTTGTGATGCCAAAAATCACAAATTCTATTCTATTTCCTTAATGGCGGCCACTAGGCTTGGGCCAATGTTAGTTTCGAATGGTTTCGAATCACAAATTCACAAAGCCGTTATTATCTAAAACTGTTCCTAAATCTAAAACCCTTCTTCTTCTTTTAAATGTGATGGCCCCATCGAAATAATCAATGATTTTGCCAATGTCAAGTAAAAATAACTATGTACGGTAATAAAAATTATACAAAAAAAATGGCGATTTCGCCAATGTCCTGTGAATTTCGTTATAACCCTTCTTCTTCTTCTTCTTCTTCTTTTAAATGTGATGGCTCCATCGAAATAAGCAATGATTTTGCCAATGTCAAGTAAAAATAACTATGTACGGTAGATTAGTATTATTATAAAAATTATACAAAAAAATGGCGATTTCGCCAATGTCCTGTGAGTTTAGAGGATGGAAAATTGTGGGAAAATTATAACCTGTCTTTGACATTACGATGCAGTGTTGCCACCTGCAAATGTGCTTCTACTGCGTTGGATACGAGTATTTCATACCCATAGAGGTTAATTTTGGGAACGTTCCGTTTTACACACACACACGTCACGTCACCATTGAGTTCAATATCATATAAATCTATGCACGTCACATAATAGGCTGTACATTGAAAAATAAAAGTATTTCGTTGAAATGTATTTTACAACGAAAGTATTTGAAATACAAATTACAAAATACATTACGGTCAGGTATTTGAAATACCAATTACAAAATACATTTTTAGGGAGTAATTGAAATACAAATACAAAATACGTATTTGTATTTTAAATACGTATTTCAAATACAAGTAATTCAAATACTGCCCAGCCCTGACCCTACCCAAGGCAGCTTTGGCTATCCGTTTACGCCATCCCCAAATGAAGGGAACTACGTGAGTTCTCCATCAATACCGTATCCTGAACAGAGTAACAATGGTATGATCACCCCTATACCGTATCCAAGTAATTGGGGCACTTCGAAATCACCAGATTATCCTACTCAAGGAGAGTTTAATGGTGATAACAGTTTTAGGCCTGGAGTTATAGGCGATGAAAGTATAGGTGGACCAACTGAATCAGAAACACATTGGGATATTGATGTTAGAAATCCTACCGAACCTTCGTCAAATGAGACAACGACAACGACGACGACACCTCAATCTCAGAGGCCCATAGAGGAGAGTTCAAGCGAAAAGGGAATAAATGCAATTTTGGGGAAACCAGTAATAATTCCTGAAACAACTACACCTGAAGGACAAATAGTTTTTCCCGAAAGGTAGAAGTTTTTTTCCACTCATACGCTTCGCAGAAAGTGTTATATATTTTGGACCTTAAGTTATGAGTTATAGTGTATTTTGGACCTTTTTGCAAATTGACAATATTTAATTTCCTAACCATGTGTTCTTTAAAACACTTCCTTAAAATTGTGACCTCCACTTAACTGTGAAGTTGTTTATTGATAATAAATTAATATTTCGGTTAATTCACATTTGCATAATTAATCTCAAAATATGATACTAATGATACTATTTCAAAAGCCGGGATAACTTTTGCAGAGTCCTAATTGTTTCTTTCGAATGTAAAGGCAAAGTTATTACTAAGATAAAGAGGCGCTTTCAAAGGAAAAGTATGTTGAGAAAACCTGCATGCTTTAAGTGATTTAAAGTTTTGAAACAACCGTCTCTTAGACTATGCAGTTAGTCTTTATTTAATATCATTAAGCTTTTTTGTTTATTTAAAAACTAGTTGCATTCTAAAAACTAATTGATGGTGATTGTGCTTCATTCAAGTGGCTTGATATTCAATTATAAGTAAGTAATTACATTCTTTTTAGTAAAAAGCATTTATTTATTTACTAAGTATGTTTATAAGGCGCAAAATATCACTCACACATTTACGGTGTCCGGTAGAAAAAGGCGAGTAACTATATGTGGTGGCTTTGCAGCTAATACGTCTGCGGCTGCCAATGCCAGTTGAGACGGGGTGTGTCAACTGTAGGTATATATTATTTATTATTTGCTGCTCTGCTTTAATGATATCATTACTTATCTTTTTGTATTTTGATTTCCTTCAACAGCACGGAGAATGCGGAGCAAAAGCAATGTGTACAAGATTGTCAATCTCCAACAGAATATAACCCGGTGTGCGGAACAGATGATATAACCTACATCAACCCGGGAAAATTCGTGTGCGCGCGAAATTGTGGTGTCCGTAAGTAAATTTATATTTGCTTTCTCGTGACCCAATTGCATAGGTACGTCTAAATGAAGAAGTTCAGTGCTAAGTAATTAGGTAAAGCATATAAAGGCTTCGTCCTGTTTTCACGACTGAGTTGTATTTTATTTTCATTACAGTATCTTGAGTATGATGTAGTTCTTCACGAGGTCATGTTGGACCCTTAAATTACTAGTCTTAATACCTGTATGAAGGCAACATAACATTTGTTTCTTGCAAAATATAGATATCAACGGCATCTATAGTGAAGCACATATTGATGTGTTGGGTGCATTTGTACGTTGACGGTACACAAAGCATATCCAGTGTTTGGTTTTTCACTGTAATAAAACTGTGATAAAAATCTTCCTATCTGTTGTGTCCTTTCTTACTGACCCGAGAAATAGGGGATTTCGGGGAGACTATGGGCTCCCCGGTAAGGGTAACAGGTCATCATTAAGGGTAAGAGTGACACGCCGTCATGAGCGTCTCTAGCGGACCCGGACTTGGGTATGAATTCGCCGGGGTTTGTGGTTAGCTGTAGGGATGAACACGTTCGTGTAACCCGGTGGGGTATGGCTGGGGTGTTCGTCTCCCGCACGTAGCGCGTCTTAGTAGCGGTCTAGACGAGGGCCTAATGGCGAGGAGGCGTGTGCCCTCTAAGTCGGGAACTATGTCCGGACATTATCGCAGGTCGCTGCTACCTGGCACTAGCCCGGAGAGCTGCTAGAGGATGAGCTAGACATCCTTCGGTCCCTCCAGACGCGTAGAAATTTGGAAACTGGGGAGGCGCCGTTCATTCAGCTTCGGGAAGTGAGCTTTACAGCTCCGCCACCAATGAGGAAATTTGGTAATCGGCTTAGAGTCGATGGAAACGTTACTTGCGCAGAGCGCGATGGGAAGTGAACGTGCCTGAGGGTGCTGTACGTGCACCCGGGGCGGCTCACTTAAGGCAACTAGCCTTACAGAGAACCGGATGAAGTCCGTGCAAACGGGCTAATCTCGGGTTAGGACCTAACTTAGATGATCCCTATGCGGACTCGCTGGCGCAGGTCATAGAATCCTTCTCGTATACCCTAAGGGTCGGTAGGGATGTCACAAGAATCAAAAGTAATGTAGAAAGATATGGGGGCTATTATAAAAAAAGGAATAAACAACAAGAGTCAATTTAAACATAAAATTTTATTGCAGATGTTTTCGTGAAGCACATAGGAAGATGTTCGTCTTAGGTAATGGAAACACTATTTTATTCAGCAGACATGATTTCTCAATAAGAAGGTACTTTTAGCCATGTAAGATTGACTCAGTGTGGTAATTACAATCTGTCAGATAAATTGATTTATGTTGACTAATAAATGTTGTTACTTATTCTTTTGTCAAGTAAGTAATTAAGGTTTCAAATTAAAGCTCTCTAGAAACTCATATCTTTATAGGACAGAAATTAAAATATCATTCGAAATATATAATTAGGTTAATTGTTTTATAATTAATGTAAACCTACGCACCTAAGTATATAAATATTTATCTTATTCAAATGCTTATGGCACTTTGGACCAAAAAGAGTACTTATTTTAAAACATATTTAGAGAAAATATCCCACATTCCCAGAACATAATACCTAACATTTAAAAAATAGCCATTTTGGTCCTTGTCAAGGTAAGTGAATATACATTTAATTTTAAAGAATATAGGTAAATAACAAAGAGCAATTCCATATAATTTAATTTGCTCGAGCTAACCAAATCTTGTTAACGAAAATGTTGTCGTTTCATTTTACTTTAGTACATTTTTTGGGTAGATTTGCGATTCTCATAATTGTAAAAGAAACAGGCACCCAGTATATTTTTTGTAAGTAAAGTTATTCATATTTCACTATTACATATATGAAAGACACGTTTTATATGAAATATTACATTTTGGAATTTATAATGTATGTAGAGCTCCTTGTTTCGTCCAGGGAAGTACTGCCTAACCTTACCTATTTCTACCGCCAAGCAGTAATGTCAGTATTACTGTGTTCCGGTTATGAAGAGTAAGGGTGCTGGTGAAATCACAGGTACGTGGGATTTGTCAACTTATATCTCAAAAAAAAAAAAAAAAAAAGGGTGACGGGCGCAGTGGCTGTGCCCCTCAGATTTTTGTGATATAAAGTTCTGAGTGGCTCTGCAACTGTTATGGACAGGAGTGTAGTTTACCATCCGGCGCACGACTTGTTCGTCCCGTCACACAGTGTTTTATAAACCTCAATTTTATGACATGTCCTTTTTGTTCCAGATTCCTATAGTTTGAACTAATACAAATTCGAGAGTTGTATTAGTTAACACAAACAATAGGAATCTGGAAAAAAAAGGGCATGTATAATGCTTGGGGTTTATGAAATACTGTGTGTGACTTGATATTATAAAAAAGAAAATAATTATACACATACCGGCATTTAACGAAACACTAGCAAAGTCTTGTTGGTTACTTTATTTTTTTTCTTTTAGGTTGATTGATGTTGGTTGGTAAATTTGAAAATAAAAAAAAGTTGACTTTCTTTTTTCTTCATTTGTTTTAATTTCTTATAGTGATAATAGTGATAGCTCGGTATTGCATATGTAGTGACATTTGTGTGTTTACAGAAGAATTTGTGGTTGTATTTGTGATTTTGTATATGTAGTTTTATGCGAACGGCATAGCACTGCATTATGCTATTCCAAGCACTCGCTAATATCTTTATACTAAGATACAGGTTTATCAAGAGGTTTGAGGTTGATTTCGCGTTACGAACTTTACACAATTTATAATTATTTGTTAAATTTTGATTTAATCAATGTTACCTGGTTACATTTTTGTCAACTTTCTGTTGCTTCTACTTTGTTATAAAATCTACTTAGAATAATAACGCATTATTCTAAGAAATTCTAAAAATTCATTTTGTTAGATTTAGTTTTTTTCAACAACGGATTACTAAAGGCTTGTACTAAGTTGATGTTAATAGGTATTACTATAACTGCTACTTTATGACTAATTCTTATCTATTTCAAAATAAAAGTTACTATTTCATATTCCCATTTTCTTTTTTTTTCCGCTAAATGTTACGTGTATATAAATGATTATTTACGGTATATCTTACCTTAAAAGTATAATGATGTTCGAAATAAGCCGTATGTAAGCATTAAGCTTACTTAAGTATCGATTCTAAAAGCTGAGTAAATCTTAACAATAGCTCCAATAAAATAACAAGAAGAGCGTTTAGGATCGGCGGCATCAGATAACGAGCACACGTCCCGAATCGAACGATTGTTGGATCAGTAAATCGGGAACTGTCGTTATGCTTATCGGTACATGAGACTCACTCAGGTGGAATTGTGTCCGTTTATTGTACAGAACGCAAAAGAAAATGCTGCATATTAAAATATCTAGTCTTTGTTGTCAGCTTTATTTTGCAATGTGTTAATAACAAGTTATGGTTTATTTGATCTTTAATTCGGGACTTAATCATGTATGAAACATATTTTAATTATTCGACAGAAATTCGCACTTATTTTTTATTAAAAGAAAACCATAACATTCTTTGGTTTAAACTTTAATGATTTTTAATCAAAATCACAGACAACAAAAAACACATTTTGACATTCATGACATGACATGACAAAAAGTTCATCACAGTTAGACACAGTTGACTTTTTGGTTTAGGCTTAATCATGAATAAAACATATTTTAATTACCTCGACGTTTCGAACGTATTGCAACGTGCATGGTCTCGAAGGGACCGAAGAGGCGGGTGTTTTTTCTAGACAATGGACGTTGTAATACGTCCGAAATGTCGAGGTAATTAAAATATGTTTTATACATGATTAAGTCTCGAATTAGAAATCAAATAATGTGTGAAAATCGTGAAAGTTTAAATCAAAGCATGTTATGGTTTTCTTTTAATAAAAAATAAGTGCGAATTTCTCTCCTTTTTATCATCTAACGTAGGTATTGACATTTTTAGCGAAAATTAGTTATTAATTTCTGGGATCAGCGAATTGGTCTACAACCGCCAATCGGTTTTTTAATATCTAACTTAGTTTTAGTTTTATTGTTAAGGAAAATCAGCAACAACAATAAAACTAAGTGCCCATATATGCAAACTTACCGAAATGCAGATGAGTTACTTATAACAAGGACAGATTTGACTTCCATCTAACCTGATGGAAAATGAAGACGAGGTCGACGTTGGAGCATGCACAACTAAATAATGCCTATTCTCTCTCGCCTTGAAAAGGCCCAAGTTTAGCGCTTAGGGAATAATTCTGTAGGTAGGGAATTCCGCTCCAAAGCCGTTCGACATATAAAAATGTGGAAGTGAAACGTTTCCTGCGAATAAATTTAGTTAAGCATATGAGTAAAGTTCGGTGACTTGCATTCATACATTATTTTTCACAGTCTCCAACAGACAATTGAACCATCGCACCCGACGGTATACTGTTTTCAGAACAATGTTGAGTTTATAATATACTAGATCATTTCACGCTAACTGTACGTGTTGCTGTAAAATCAAAACAACTCTGTGTAAACTAATCTCCTTCGCAGTGTTTGCAAGAATGAGAGAGAATCTTTGCAAGTTTGCGTTTCGATTGCTTTGACACCAGCAACAACTTATCAGGTGTTGGTAAAGATATTTGTAAGACATGTAGTAAGGTTCGACATCTTTACGGTCTGCCGGTTGTAAAACCAAGTTGCTATTGGCGACATATGGGAGAAGTTTTATTATTTCGATGCAACATTTTATTGCTTAAGACCCATGAATAATGGAACAAATTGCACTTCGGTTGTACTTTGAATCCCATTAGAAAATGTATAAAAAACACAATAACATTTTCCTTGTAGCTTTACGCATTAGAGGTGTATCACGGTAGCGTTTTATGCTTTTGCATATTGACGTAAATAGGTAATTTTCAGATTACCTTTCTCTACCCAATTTCGGTGGCAATTTTTATTATTTAAGTACTGGAGTATATTAACTTGAAATATTGAATGATATTTCTGGTTACTACATTAAATAATATTTTATGCTAATATTCTACAATGTTGGAATAAAAAAAATTGCCACCGAAATTAGGTAGAGAAAACTAACATGAAAATTATCCAAATGAAAACTTATGATGGATCATACGACGTCTACAAATTAGTAGAAAACACTGAAGTGGAGATGCGAACATGAATGCATTATGAGTTATGTGATGTAGGTTTGAGTGCCACCTCAATACCATTATGGACAATCTACCAATCAATATAGGTCCCGGATTCGATTCCCTTTAGGATTAATTTGGAAAAAGAATTTTGCGGTCTGGGTGGTCCACGAGTGAATTCCATTGCTTCGGTACTCATAGCACAGGGAATTCCCTAGTTTCAGGCAAAGTAATTGGTACCTAGGTTGTGCATGTTATTATGAACTGCCTCCGTAGCCTAACTGTTACCTTCCTGGACTGCCGCGCAGAGTTCCGGGGTTCGATTGTCGGGCCGAGAGAAGTATTTGTACGGCCTGCATTTATTTGTCTCGCGAGTTTGGGTGTGATTTGTGGTTGTCTACCTATGTGTCCATGGCACTCGCGACACAGGGTTTCTCTAATGTGGGGCTATAAGTGAGTGCGTTATTGTTATTATTTTTAATATTATCAACATGTTCCAATAGCCCTTTCATTTATTTTTTCAACGGCGCAAATTAAGAAGATATCTGTATTAACGACAATTGGCAAGGCCAAGTCCAACAAGCAAAGTTTACATAAAAACATTCACGCTCTTACAATCTTCTATGCGACAACATTTTACTAAACACGATAACGAGGAAACTTTATAGACTATTATACTTGTTATATTTGATGATTTGTTAAGCATCAATATATAAGCGTACATCTGGCGTAGTACAAATGTCTGCAACTTTATCAAACGTTTATCAAACTAAGATTAGTACGGACAGTGGATTTCTCGATTGTTCTACTCGTATATGGCTCACAATCGTGGACGATCCGGGCTTCAGAACGGGAAAAAAAATGCATTGGAGATGTACCACATCTCACATGCATCTATTTTTCCCGTTCTGAAGCCCGGAGCTGGAGAAGGATGCTCCATATACCATGGACCGCTAGAAGATTAAACCAATCTATATTTAAGGGGCTCACATCACAAATTAGACTGTCTATAAAGTGCTACTTGGGAATTCTGAAATGTTTTGGTCATATTGCTCGCCGACAACCAAACAACCTTGGCAAACTGGTTGTGTGTGCAAGGTGGAAGAAAAGAGACTCCGCGGTCGATCACCTGGCCGATGGAGTTTACAAGTGACCGCCCGCAATGGCCTCCCTATCGTAACTGCTCTGAGAGAAGCCTAAAACAGAACTAGATGGAAGGAAATAGTCATGACCAATTGGGCGCCACTTTCAGTAATGAAGAATACGCCTGAGAAGAAGAATTTACGAACGAACAAAGTTTGCAAATAAAAAAAACTAAATTCATTGCCCGCACATAAATATTCATACCGTCTCTTACAAATAGTAATAGGCGTAACTTACAATTTGGACGCATAAAACATGAATTTAATTTTCTATTGGATGTTTCCTGTCAGCCGTGATCATGGGACCTGTAAAGAACCCGAAACGAAGGTTTGTTTGAAAAAATAGATATACTTCGTGATTTAGATATAAAAATATTGTATCATTTCCAATGTGTAGCAACCACAAACATTTAAAAAATCGTTTTCTATGTTACGATATAAATAATTAATTCTCAATGTTGTAAGAGACGGCATATTATCGAGATATTTACAAATTAATAATATTGATTTTTATTATTCGGTATACAACTGATGTTGGTTTGAGTCCAATTAGATCGAATACATTTGTCTTTGTGTTGTTGGGTCTTTGTATCAATTTTCATAGTTCGTCCTGGAAACCATTGCCACCTTACCGATTTCTGCCGAATAATGTGAACATTACTGTGTT